AAAAAAAAAAAAAAAATTATTTTTCCATATATACCATGTTGTATAAAATGTTATAGAAAAAGACAAAGCATGAACACATACCATACACACATACAAAAGAAAAAGATATATAAATATATATAGTGTATTTATATGTATGAGCTTATATATGTACGCAAAAAGTATGCTATATTATTTTTTCATTTTTTTTCTCCACATTTGTATGAAGAACGTAAGCTGAGTTCCCAGAGGGAGGGGAAGAGAGGGATGGCAATGTGGTATAGATGGAATTGCAATATTGGGACTGTTCCCCTTCAAGAGAGACACACAGACTTATACACACCCTATTTTTCCCTAGTATAAAATTAATTATCTTTCTTTTTCATTCGGTGTATAAATCTTACTTCCAATAATGATTTCGCATCTTCCTGAACCCTCCAATTAAAAAAAGAGTTGCGTATAGGGTTTAGAAAAAAAAAAAAAAAAATTGTTTCCTCGCACTCCCTATCTTGACTTAGACCCTCCCATATCTACAACATTTCATGCACTGAATCGCACACTCCTACAAAATGTGAATATATAACTTTTTCATTTTTGTGTATGTCATTCCTTTAAATCTTCATTCTCTTTCACTTGTGGTTTATTGGTACATGTTATTTTACTCTATATTCACCATTTTTTGACTTTTTTTTTTTTACATAATTTGTTGTATATAATACGGGTTGGGTCTTTACGTCATCCAATCTACAATTGAAACACCTATTCAGTAAATAGGCTAGACTATTTCTCTTGTATTATCATTTTTTTTTCTTTTTTCTACTTTTTTCATAATCTCCGAAAGGGGTGGAGGGGGGGGGGAGGAAGGGGTAACCAAGTGAGGGGATTTTTCTTGTATAACATCCCTCCTGTACATAACGTATTTGGATACAAAGTATATATTCTTAATAATGAAACTGAGGGGAAATAATCAATGAAAAGGAGTAGGGGTCATGCCTCCATGGTCCTCGCGGTTTAGGGCCACTCCGTTGGTTCAACATCGACGAAACATCATAAGGCGGCGGTGACATTGACGATGTTGGTGGCAGTGGCATTGGCAGTGGTAGTAGTGGTGGTGGTGTCAGTGAAATCATATTCATTCTGTCAATTGGAATTGCAGGTCGTGGTGGGGGTGGGACCGGTGATAACACTGAGAGTGGCATCTCCACAACAAGTGTGTTGCGTGGCATGTGTTTTGCTCGATCCGGCATTGATCCTCGCACACTGGCGACGGTGGCCAACATTTCACGAGAATGAGATGGCACCACCCAAACACCTTCAACACCCCGCACACTATCGAAGAAAATACGATGATGGTATTTCAGGAGACTGGATACTGCAGACTCCCGTAGCGTCACCCAGGCACAGCCTTTTCCTCGATTAGAAGTCTTGTTACGATGGTTCTCCACTGAAATAAGAGCATCAGATGGCACCTGCAAAACTGTTGACATGAGCCACTTTACCATTGGGACAGTACCATCACGTCGAAGTTGACCAATAAACATTCGCTGTCCCTCAGGGCGTGAATTTTGACAGCAAGGCTTAAGGCGCGAGGTACGAAGGTTTACCAACATTCCGCACTCAGAGCACACCCACGAACCACGTGCAGATGATAACTGCGCCTCAATAATATCTTCATTCATCAACAGATCCTCATGACACGGAATGAATAGAGCTGGTGTTGTACTGCGTGGCGGTCGGCATACACTCAAGAAGGATAATGACAAGCGAAAGAAAAACTTGTTTACACCCCGTGTACGTAGTAAACTTTCCCACGGCAAAAACTCCATCACATTAAGAAGGATGTGTTCAATCAGAAAAGGATGCGTGGGGACGTTTGTGTATTCCTCATCGGCTTGCGAAGGATTGATAGCCCTTTCGACGACACTGTCAGAATCTCCAGCAGAAGACGCACTACCATCCACATCTGAGAAATTCTTAGGCAATTCAGGAGATCCGAGAGGAGCATGATTCATATTTAGAAGACCCATCTTTAACGCGAGACGTTCAGTGCTTAACATATCACGTTCCTCCCTTCCGTCTTCTAACACAGCGTCGGCAGCAAGAAGAAGCATCAAAGAACCCACCTCACTTTTCGTTAACCGGCCAGAAACTCTCCTTGATCTGGTGGTAAATGCTTCAGCATTTCCGACGTCGACCCGGATTGAGCGTAGCCTTCGTTCGGTCCGTGTAGATCTTCTGCTCATTCTCAGCTTGCAAAGGCAGGAAATCACAAACTATAGTGAGAGAAACAAAGAAAATAGAAGAGAAAGAAAATCATAAAAATATTTCTGTAATCATTAGATTTTGAAAACATAAGAAACAACATAAACCCCTCCCCAAAATTAATAATAATAGTAATAGTATTTTAAACAAGGTAAGAGAAAGTAAGTGAAAAAGATTTCAAGAAATTTGACCTAATACCGTGGAGATATAAGATCAAGAACTTCTTTCCCAGGCATTGTATGTAAGGTCCTCTCCCCAGATAGAGCCTCCTCTGTCTCCTCAAGCTTTACACCACTACTTTGCCCACAATCTGTAATCCAAGCACGACTTACAGGTGTACCACAACGCGAACCACATAGTGCAGCTACTTTACTTATCACATCCCATCCTTCTAATACCTGTCCACAAACAACAAACTTCCCATCTAAATGCTCGTTTCGACCTAAATTAAAAAAGAATTGAGAACCATTTTGGTTCGGACCGCTGTGAGCCATAGCCACTGTTCCAGGAAGATTCTTACTTGCTTTCCCGTCAAAACTTTCATCAGGAAAAGGGAACCCGAAGACGCTAACATTACCACGACCATCCTTACTTAGGATGTCACCACCCTGCACGATAAATCCAGGAATAATTCTGTGAAATGGTATTCCCTTATAATATAACGGGCACTGAGCATGACCACGTTCACCAGTACAAAGGGAACGAAAGTTCTCTGTAGTTTTAGGCACAGTGTCATGAAACAGTTCTAGAGACACTCGCCCCAGCGCATCTCCTTCAACTGTAATATCAAAAAACACAACCGGATTCGAAGTATTCGAAGGATAAGGCATAAAAGCGTGTAGTCCACCTCGGTGGGCTCTTTGCACTACACGTGTCCAGCGTATCATAAGTTGTATAGAAGAGAAAGTTACCCTATCACACACACACACTCTCTCTCTCTCCTTCACTATGTATATTCCCTGCAATTATTTTCTTTTAGAGGAAAAAAATAAGAAAAAAGTCAGGTACAGAAGAGATGATTATAAAAATGCATCACCTCCAAAAAAAAAAAAAAAAATCAAGGAAAGAGGGAAAAAAAAAGAAAAGTCATAGAATTAAGTCCTAAAGGAAAAGGTGAAGATGATTCTCTTTCTTTCCATTCATTCTTCTCTTTTTTTAGAGTTTTGATGTTTTCGTGTCTCTCTTTCCTTTCTTTTCGCTGTTGTTCCCCTGCCCTACCCAGACATACATACAGAAATAGATATAGATATATATAGTTTTTTTTTTTCTAATTGCCCCTGAAGCGAGCAAAGTAAGAGGTTTGTAAAAAAAAAAAAAAGAGCCCTTGTTCGACCAATGGAAAAAAAGGTATGTCACCCTTGTCAAACCACGCATTAGCTTGTTTTTCCTTTTTTTTCCTCAACAAATACAGTGAATCAGATTCAGAGCAGTTTTTCCTTTCTTTCTCAACATCCACACATTGTCTTCTGTTTCTTGGCAGCTGGAGCTTCGGCCTTCGGAGCAGCGGCAGGCTTGGAAGCTGCCTCCTTCTCTGCTGCCGCTTTGGCTGCTGCCTCCTTGGCCGCTGCCTCCTTTTCTGCCGCCTCTTTGGCTGCTTGCTCCTTGGCCGCTGCCTCCTTTTCTGCTTCTTCTTTGGCTCTCGCATACTCCTTCCTCTGCTTCGTTAAAGCCTCCCTTCCTTGTTGTCCATAGATTGCTCCCATAAGCACTTCAGCTGAAATAGATCCGGTGTTGTTCTCATCTAGAACATCAAAAAGAGCGTCAATCTCATCATTGGTAAGAGCATCTTCACTTGATCCTGTCTTTGCTGCAGCCTCTTGAAGGGAAGCACGAGTAACCAAACCATTTGGTGCAAGCACAGAAATGTGTTTAGCCATCGCTTCTGAATCAAGACAGTTATCAGGGTTTTTCTCGCAAAGTGAGAGAAACTCATCTTTTGTCAATAATCCAGGATATTTCCCAGAGACCGCCGCCTCTTCCATGGTAGAAAGTTTAAACCGGTATCCAGACTCAAGTGCAGCGACGAGGGCTAGAGACGGTGGAACGACCTTCTCACCATCGTCACGTGTCAATTGACGCTTTTCAAAAGCTTCAACAGCAGAAAGAGGCATAGATCTTAAATGTACGAGAAAATAAACCTATCCCAGAAGCGGAGACATAGAAAATGATTTTTTTTTTAAGGAATAGAAGAAAAAAAAAATAAAAACGAAAAAAATAATAATAAAATAAAAATAATAATAAAAATAAAATAATAATAATAATAATAATAATAATAATAATAAAATAAAAAAAAAAAAGAATTATTTTAAAATATTAATAAAAAGCACGCCAATCTCAGGAAACCATTATGTAAACATCATGAATATCATCTTACTGTAACTGGTGGACCATTCTCCGATAACATCAGATTCGTTCCATGGACATTGAAGTAGAAATAAATAAACCCAAGTTACCTACGCGACGGAATACAGATCCCATTTCATTTGTTGTTGGATTCATTTTGCTTGGATATAATTTGTTATTAAAAACTATCCAATCAAATTCGTTATCAAACCCTTTTCCATTACCGGTAGCAAGAGCCCGTGATCTTTGTGAAGGCATATGTATTTTACTTCCTCTCAAAGAATAAGGAACTTCTCCATTCGAAGAAAGTAATTTTTGTGTGGTACGTAACTCTCGAATTTGTGCAGAGAGTTGTTTTAGTAATTCGTCATCTTCATGTATACGAAGTGCATCCTGTACTATAGATTCCGCTTTCTCAAAGTCATCTTGGTATGCAACAGCAGTAGCCCATGCCGCATAACCTCTAGCTCCACCAGAAGAATTTAATTTCGGTTTTGGTTGTAAGAGTGCCGCTTCTCTACCATTAAACTCTGCTTCTTTGAATTCGCCATTTAATAGAAACCCTACTGCCAAATTTGCATGAGCAACAGCCTCTGTATCTGCATCATGGCAAAACATTAAGGCACCTGCAAGCATAGAAGTAGCTTCATCGTAGTGTCCACTACTTATACAGCCTTCGGAAACGGTTGTGAATAACTGAATTAATTTTTTTTCATCAGCAGCTGTACATTCTGGAGGAGAAACAATATCACCTACAAAATTACCTAGTTCCTTTCCAATAGAATCAAATTCCCCTCCTTCAATGTGTAATTTTTCTTCTTCAGATATAGGAAGTGCATCATCAAAATTTTTTTTAGCCAGACGTCGGTGAGGGGTACTCCCTTCTGTTCGAATTAATTCCCTGTACTCATATAAATCATCAAGAAAACGTTCTTTTAACGAAGGACTAGATATAACTGCACGAACACCAACTGGAGATATTTTAACTCCAAGTTGTTTCTCAAATTTCTTTATCGGTTCGAGTAAAGGTACTACACTTGGTTGTATGGCTTTATAACCACGTGTAGCCTCTATTTCTGGAGAAGCTTCTAAAGCGTCAAACAATTCTGTAGAGGCATTTATAAGCTCAGAAGCAGGGTTTTTTACAAAATAATGAAGCCACTCTTCCACTTCAATTGGAACATGCTCCTGTTTATATGTTGACAAAAATTCCTGCAAACGAAATGGTACCTCCCTACCAGTTGGAAAACATCCTAACGTCCACCAGTACTTCATAGTGTATGGACCTGGTCCATGTGGGCCTGGAAATCGATAGAGATATAACGTCGGGTTCATAGACATATGCTTTTGATGTTTTGATCCTGGACACCATCCTCCTCTTTGGTAACTGTGAAGACCTCGATTACGCAAAAACATAATTAGTTATCTTATCTTCATGGTGTTGCAAAAATTCAAAAATATGAAAAATCAAAGAAAAAAAAAATTTTTTACAAACTATAATGTCAAATTTTTAAAATATTAGATATATATATATATATATATATATATCAACTTATGTACATAAGTATATGAACCTTTAGTTCCAAGTTCACCATCTGTAGCAGATGCCTTATTAATCCCAAAATAACAACAAAAAATAACAATACTACTGAGCAAATTGTCTCAGGAGACGCAACCAATTAAGGTATTCCTCTTGCTCAAAAAAATGTGCTTGTGCCATTATGTACTCCGCAAATCCGTTATTTACACCTCTTTCATCAAGGTAATCAAGAATTTCATCAGAAAAGTCATCATCTAATTCATTTAGCATAGGCCCACGATATCGTCTGTCCCTTCTTCGTCGACAATCCAAGTTTCTCTTTTGTCCGTGTTTTTTAGGTGAATCGATCAAGTTACTCGTCGATAAAAGGGAATCACGTGCAACATCTAAATCTTCTTGGTTGCTGTGAATAGCTAATGAATCCATTACCAACTCCATATCTATGGATGTCAGCCCAAACTCCAACCCTCCTGGAAATCGCTCTTTTTGAACAAACAAAGAAAAAAAAAGGTACTCTTCTTCTTCACGTTCTCCATTATCCATGCGATACGTTCCTTCATACTGTTTTACCTCCATTAAGGCTATAACATGTAATTCCTCTCTCCCAAAATCCCGAATATTAACCGTTTTTCGAAGATCGAATCTATTGCTATTTAATTGATGTTCAAGTTTCCACCCGGTTGGAACAATAGGTTTGGGGGGAAGAAAATCACGAATATTTTCCTCATTTTCTTCACGAACGGTTAGTGTATATAGTTTGCGATGACAACGGGGTAAAACCTGTCTTCTCACCTTCTGAGAAATTTTTTCGTCTTTTAGTACTGACTCTGGGAATTCTGAAAATGCCCGTGTCATGACATTCCGGTAGTTTTTTTGAATAAAACGATACATTATTCAACAAAACGTTAAAAAAATAATGTTCTGAACAAAAAAAAAAAAAAAACCTTTTCAAGTTTATCATTAGAAAAAAAAAAATCAGGGAAAATCAATACTGCTTTTTTTTTTTTTTTTACATTCCACACAACATAAGGTTTAAAGAAGCGCTGAAGTTAATCAGGAGATCGTACAGAACAACAGAAAATGAACAAGATCATAGTTAAAACGCGAAGAAAGAAAAATCCAAAGAAAATACACCCTTGGGAATGGGGAATTGTGAAGAGAGGGTGAAGATTGAGAAATGGCACACGCCATTTTCTTATCAATAAATTAAAAAAATATATAATGCAGAGAAAACTGAAAGCAACCAGCCCTTCACCAAACCAGCCTTTCAGTTGCTAGAGGGACGCCGGACGAACGGAAGAAAGCAGGCATGAAACCCGAGAGAAGCCAATCCAAGTAGTAAAAAAAAAAAAAAAAAACAACCACCAACCACCCACCACCAACCGCCCACCACCAACCGCCATGCCACCGCCCCAGAACCCCGCGGAGACAATAAAAAAAAAAACTTTTCCCCACCCCAAAACCACGCCCACTACTTTTTTTTTTTTTTCGTCGAAGCGGCGATCCGATCCGGTGATCTGGCGCCCGGCGGTCCGCTTTATCGTCGAGTTAAACCCCGCGCTCGGCGCTGGGGTTTCTGGGGTTGCCCGAGCCCCTTTTTCCCGGGATGGCGCCCGGCCGCGCCCGACACCAGGGACCCACCCCACCCCACCCACTGGGCGAGCAGCGGGGCCTGACCCCACCGCCGTTTAGAAAAGGGGAGCGGAAGAACGCCGGCCGAATCGTTTTTTTTTTTTTTTTTTGCGCTAAGAAAGGTGGCGAAATTTTCGCCGAAACCGGGGCTTCCAGTTTTGCGGAAAGTTTCGGCGACACCGCTCCAAACGAGGACCCCGTGCCCGCGCCAAAGCCGGAAGTCGAAGAGCGAAGGCAGCGTTCCCTGATGGCGTTTTGTTTGATTGCCGCGGCCTCCGGGGTCTCTCGTGTGGATTTTTGTGGGGGCCAAAAGAAAAAAGAAAAAAAACACTCTCTCCAGGCCTTTCTTTTCCCCCTGGAAAAAAAGAAACGTATTAAATTAATATTGATGGTTTTTCTTTTTATCACTGCCACCTAGAAATTAACATCATAAACTACGATGACCTTCGTAACACCGGTCACCTCAACGTGGTGCCAAGGTCTAGTGCTTTGTATTGCCGGAGGAAGCCAAGAGCCAGCGACGTTTTTCTTTTTGGAAGACCCGTTGGCCCTTAGGCTACGGCGTTATACAGCACCGGGACCAGCCGCGTCGTGCTGGGGCAGAAATATATCCAAGAAGGTCCTGGGGCACGTGTCGACGTGCTATCAGCAGTATCACCCGCACCAGGTTACTGCTGAGTGGTGGTGTAGAGGAAAATCCCGGCCCTTCACTGCGAGGAATGCAATGGAACTCAGCTGGGCTTATCCAGGCCAAGAGGCTTGCTCTCCACAAAACCCTTGTTGAGGAGAATGTGACATTCTGCCTTCTAAGCGAGACGAAACTATCTTCTGCGGAAGTGTCGAGTTTCACAATCGCTGGTTACCGACATCATAGAGCGCTCCACCCCTCTAAAAGAGGCAGCGTTTCGATTCTTGTGCGTGAAGATCTGCCAGTAGAAGTAGGACTCACCGTAGTTCCAAGCATTGAGCATGCTCATGCAACGATCCAAAATGTCAGAAGGTCTGGCGCTAACAGTGACGTCAGCATACTCTTCCCTCCGGGGAGATCATACACAACTTTGCAGCTAGACATGCTTTTGAGCGTTCCCTTGCGAGAAATGTGATATGGCAACGCGCTCTAAAACAGGCCTCAAATCCCATATTAGAGCGATCCATCCTGAGAACCCCACGAAAGACGCACCTCGTACCCAACTCATCCCTCAACTTGCTTCACTACGCTGCGAAATTTGCCTACGCGACTTCGGCAACATTGGAGCTCTCACCTGCCACAAAAAGTTTAAACATCCACCTGGAACCCCAATTTTGCCAGCAACAATACAAGTAACGTTTCCACGCAATAAGAAACGCCAGCGAGATACGTCGCCACCGGAGCGTGAAGACAAAGAGAAAGTTCAACGCGGAGTATGCCAGAAGTTCTACGCACATCTAGACTCCCTCGTAATACACTGCAGAAAATTCCATGAAGGACAAGGTATGCCACAAAAAACGAATTCCACCAATGGGCAATACAAGACAACGAAAACACGAGACCTTCCGGCGTTAGTCTGCCCCTCATGCGGTCGTCAATGTGTATTAGTAAGCCAGGCCTAACTCTACACCGAATGTCACGACACGGGTATCAACCTACTCGCGCGCACACCCGCCAACGCGACGAATGCGAAGAAACAGCTCTGCACCTCCTGAGTTGCCCCGCTCTTCATCCACTGCGAGTCCAATTTGCGATAGTTGATGATGTACCCCTGATGAAATCATGTTTTTCTAAGCGGTTAGCACAGTTCCTTATTGCGGTGGAGCGGAACTACGCTATGCCACAGACTTCACAACCAAGAATCCCTACGCAGCCTACCTCCCCACCTCTCTAAAATCAGTGACGAGCTCGAATATGGAAACCCTGATAGAAGAGTAAGCTCAAGGCGCCTGCCACCCACCAAAGAAGGAACACAATAAATAGGAGTTCGTTGAGGCCAATGTATTAAAAAAAACCCAAAAATAACAAAAATAATAACAAAAGGAGACTAGAGGACGGGTTCTGGGTAAGAACAGTGGGAGTAGAGAGATCTGGTAGGGTTTACTCGATCAGATTTCTCGTAGACTGGTTCTCTCGTTTGGGAACGGGCTACAACAAAAATCATATTACAAGAGCTTGAGGATCCCATAAAATGAAGGGATTTTCTCCTTCTTCGGAGCCACTCGTGAGTCAGTAATTGGGTGCTCTACGGTGTACGGTTGATAGCCGTACCATTGGAGTAATATCCATAAAGACAAAAAGAAGAAAAAAAAAAAGAATAGTTTTTTCTAGAGGCATCAGGACGTCGTTTTCTCGGTAAACTTGATAAATCTTCTCATTATTGACCCCCTTCGACCAATGCCTTCTACCAAAATCTGTTTTGCAATTCGATTGTCCCCTATACCAACGTCGCATCGTTCGGACCGTGGGTCGGAGCAGGAACTTTGCTAACTTCGTTTGCCGAACTTAATCCCGAAGGTGTTTTTTTTTTGTGTTGGTGGGGTGAGGCGGTGCGCAGTGAAAGAGATCATGGAGCCCCGTAACGTTTCTATGTTCATTTTTCTTCCTCTGTCAAAATGCAGAAATAGTTCCCCATTTTCAGTTAAAACACCATCTACATGATAACTCAAACATGTGCCGTTTTCTGGGGAAAAATAAAACGAGAATGCAGTTGTGCCATTACTTCCCACAACAGTTGCAAACACATTTTTACAGATCAATCATTAGAGTCATGAAAACAATTTCCGTATTTCTGTCGCCACGGCCGCTTTGATATGCATGTTTTTTCAGACACAAGAGAGAAACAAATTATCCCATTTACTAATCGAATAGAACAAGGTGGGACCTTTCCTATGGTCACCTCTCAAAAAAGTTCCTTTTAACGCCATTAACACTGCAGAGGGGCAGTTTGCTTCAGAGAGCGAGGGCGCCCTTTTTCACAGAGACCCTTTGCCGGCAACAGCGGTCGAGGCCCGCGCGGGCGCACTGAAGTTGCTGAATTGGCGTCGCGCCAAAAGAGAATAAACGAACAGAAAAAAAAAAAAAGCAACATTGAGCGACTGTAATGGAAGAATGTGCGCTACGATGATGCGGACTAAATTCATCAGGGCCATATGCCATGCCACCCCGAAGCCACTGCTGAGGCAGCGGTCTTATTTCTCCTGAAGCGCTCCTTCTTCTGATGTGCATCTCTGCCTGATTTGATGCATGGGCTGGGTTACTTTCGAATGAAATCATGCGAAATTGCGTAGTGAAACAGCCTTTTGATGGGGGTAAATGCCGACCGAGGTTTTTACATACTATCAAGATGGTTTAGGAAAGGAATCTCGGCACATGGAAATGCAGCTGGTGTATCATGGAAACTGCTTCCAATCCAACCTCAGACCGAGAGCCCGCGTGCCCCAGAGGCTTTTTCGCTGACACATACAGGTAACTATATCGTTTTTTCTCAGAATATGCAAAGCTTTGTTGCGAGGCACAACCTCTAATTCGCAAATTTGGAACGGCCATCGGCTGACAATACTTCCAATATCCGTTTTCTTGATTTCCAATGCGGTCTTCTGTGTGCTCCTAGTTGTTCTTACCCGCAGAGGCTCTGCGACACTGAGGGCTGCAGCCGCCTCATTTGCACTGGGACGGTCTTCTCCAAATTAACTTTGGCATGTCGCCTGTGATGAAGATAATGGGGAAAGGAAATGCTCTTTCAGACACATTTCTGCCTGAAGAAGCTGGGGTTGGTAGGGTTTTCTGGGATTAGGAGATTCGAGCATAATAATGGCAAAAGGTTCCCAAAGAAACTCCGCCGATTTTTTTTTTTTCCTATATAGGTTTTAAGGAAAACAGATATGGCAAAGAGCAAAGACAGCGAGGGTTTGCGAGGGAGATGTGGAAAAAAACGCCTTCAGTAGACTGTTTTCTTCACTCCCAATTAGTCCTGAATAATGCTGAACAAGCTGGGGTATACCAATACGGCAGGCGCCTGTGCGCTGCAAAGAAAAACAGAGAAAACACCCTAGCCGCCTGCGCGCATGAAAGGGGTTGCTGCGCTCACGCTTCCAACATGCAATTGTGATTCGGAACAACCGCCGGAAGTTCTAAGGAGCTAACCCTCTATTCGTTGCGGTGGCTCTTGGAAATGATTTTGCCGGGATTTGGTTTGCCACCCTTTGCGGGTGAAACTGTTGCTTTGCAACGGACAGAAACTGGAAGGGTGCCATTTTATTTAAACAACCCAAGTACGCAAACACTAGCCATTCGCCAAAGGAACTTCCGGTAGAGCAAACCTTACCACAACCGCTTTGCTAAATACTCCTGTGTTGCTTCTGGTTGTTCCCACCCCGCCTCCCCCAACGCGTTGCCAGGACCCCCTTTTCGCGGCGGTAACGAAAACGAGACGCCCCCATGGGATAATTTATAGCCTGAACTTTCAGAAACCCTGAGGGGGTGTTTCCTTTGAATTTGCTGACCCGCCCATTTGCCGAAGATATTTCGCGCCCCCGCGCGGCGGCGAAGGTGCCCTTTAAAGCTTTTGTAGTGTTGGTGGTCTGTTTTTCAAGGTTCGAAAGATTTATTTTAAGCATACCACCTCTGGTAAGCCGATATTAATCTAGGATATCGCTAATGTTTTGTTTAATCCTTATCGGCTCATGTGGGCGGGAAATAAAATAACCCATCTTTCGCCGTTTCCCTCGCCACTAGCACCGGGAGGTTATAACAAAATGTCTGTCCCGAACGAAAAATACCCTGTATTTAGAATAAGACTCTCTGCAATCGATATTTTTCTCTATAATAAGAGCGAAATTGCTTATGTTAACATTCCTATGTACACCGTCTATTTTTTTGAGACGCCTCGGTTTTTCAAAAGGTTAAAAAAAATTTGAATTTTCGGTCAACGTTTGTCACATCATCCTTCCCCTATTTTTGTTTAGCACATTCCCTATATTTTGATCTTCTCAAAGCTTCTTTTGCTGCCTATGATATCGTGCCGTATTATTCTTCTTTCACTTGTGGGCCATAACCTTGTTAAACAGTATAAAGACTTATTAGTTCTCGGTTGAGTGGTCCGAATCCGTTTTTTTTTTTTTTGTTAGTAGTGGTTTTTGATTATGCATAAGTCAATTAAAAGCGATAAATCTGTTTCAAATTTCACTAACAGAGCAACCCCCATGATGCGAGAAGTTTTTTCTACACTATAGAGGTTGCAACCATATGCCGCCCTTCTGGACAATGGGGGTGGGTTCTTTTTCAACTGTTTGCTACATCCCATTAAATCAAACAATACCGAGCCTTACCGTCGCAAGAAAACTGGAATCGAACTTCGAATCCCCAGACCTCCCCTTACGAAGTTTTGTTTTCCAAACCAAATTCGTTTCGCAATGCCTTTCCGAACGGGCGAAGACCAATAGCAAGGTAATATGAACGCGAAACCTTGACGGTTTAACCCATTGGGGTTGCAAAGGAAATCCTAGAAATATCCACTGAAATGAATACATTGGCCAATTTGCACGCGCACGGACTTATGGGGCTTAGTAGTGCTATTGTCTGCTGTTTTTGGAAACTGTTGCTCATTGGATTCACTTTGTTTTTTTTTTTTTTTGGCTCGCATCTTTATGGGTGTTCCCCCAACGGCGCGGGCATCAACAGACGCATACGCACACGCACGCGCTCATTATTATTATTATTATTATTATTATTATTATTATTATTATTATTATTATTCTTTGTTTCATTATTATTCTTTACCGCTGCGCGCTGGGAAAGGGGTTGCTGTGCTTCTCGCGGGGGGGGGGGAGCGGGAGAATCGGTTTCTTTCGCCCCTCTGGGTCTCCTTAGCGGCCAAATCCAATTCTGCCATGGGAGAAGAAGGTTGTTGCTATTTTAGGATCCCTGACTATCTCTCTCTCTAGCAGCATTCACACTGAGGTGAAATATGTAAAAGAAACTGCTGCCGATGGCATGCCGATGCGCGCCCCAGGGTCTTCCTGGATAAAGTTTTCCGTGTGAACGGCAGGGCTGGCCCCAGTGCCGCATGACGTTTTAGCTTATGAACCCCAAAAAGCCCTCCAGAAGAGAAAGTTTACTGGCCCAAGGCCTCCCCGAAGAATGCGAAGTAATAGATCTTGCCACCACCTCTTGAAAGTATAACACCGCCAACGAAATGAGAGCCCTAGAAGACATGTATTAAAATAAAGTCAATTTGGGGATTTTTTTTTTTTTTTTTGAAGGAGACCACCCCCTTTCAAAAGACTGGTGATTGCCTTTGGTTTCGCTGAATAGAATCAGGTAATTAACTTTGGCATCTTGATAAGGCGGCGCATCATCACGAAGGGATTTACTCCATATAAAGTAATTTCCGATAATTCCGCATCATGGATCCGATGCGCTCCACGTCAACGAACATTGCTCATTAACATTATTGTTTCAAAATCTTAAAAAAAAAATTGCGCCAAAACCTCGGACACACACAAAAGATAAAGTTGCTGTAACGGAAATCAAGAAAATACTCTGTGTGATTCTGAAAAAAAAAAAAACATTGAGAATTTTACCTTCCCAGATATTTCTCGCAACTGCCAAAAAGCACCAAACCCCTACTCCTTAATCGTGGTATAGTATAAGTTTTTTTTTCTTTTTTTGCAAGGTCTGGATTTTTTTATTAGAGTTTATAGTGGTTTCGTACTTCTCCATAGTAAACACTGTGGTTCGCTTGGATTGATTTAAGCAATGCAATAAGCGCCGGGCAAGTTGCGCCAGCTTTAGGTTAATCCCATTGCCCCATTGGAAAAAATAAAAAATATATAATTCTCCAGCATATCTTCCGCTAAACTGAAGCTATAAACAAAACACGGGCCAGGCTGTGAAAATAATAAGTAATAGAAAGAGCTATATTTGTAAAACGGCGTCCCTCGCGAAGGGTGGGGCGGGGTTGCCGACACATGGTTCGATAGAGCGGCAATTGCGGAACTGCACGAGGAAAGAAGAAAATGCCAATTAGACACCAGCACGCAAATACTAAAGTCACCCTGGCAATTAAACGCGTAGGCGCTTTATTCTTGTACAGGTTTACGTCTCACAACCTTAGGTGTTCTTCTACCCCATTTATTCCCACAGAACCGCGTGCAAGAAGAAGCACTTAAGGAAAAATAAGACCGCTGCCTCAGCCGTGGCTTCGGGGTGGCGTGGCATATGGCCCTGATGAATTTAGTCCGCATCATCGTCGCGCAAATTCTTCCATTACAGTCGCTCAATGTTGCTTTTTTTTTTTTTCTGTTCGTTTATTCTCTTTTGGCGCGACGCCAATTCAGCAACTTCAGTGCGCCCGCGCGGGCCTCGACCGCTGTTGCCGGCAAAGGGTCTCTGTGAAAAAGGGCGCCCTCGCTCTCTGAAGCAAGCTGCCCCTCTGCAGTGTTAATGGGATTAAAAGGAACTTTTTTTAAATTAAGTTTTTTGTAATATTTGCGTTTTATTTTATACTTTAATTCTTGACATTCTGCTGTCATGATTTTTCTTCAGACTGCCGCCCCGCTGTAATTTGCCAAGAGCCGCTTTGGCGGAGGTGCTTTTGATTGTTACCCAAGGTATTCTGGTAAAAAGGTTTTCCGCAGCATGAGGCGACTGTCAGCTGTGCGCTGCGATACGTTTTTCGGTTACGCATCAACGCATCTTCCAGGAGAAAAAAATATAGCCGGCCGCTGCTGCCACGGTAGTGCCGTTGGAATCCTCGCAGCGATGTCACCGTGAATTCCACAATTTCTGCTTTAAAAATTCATCTTGCCGCCTAAAAGATGCTATTTAACTTCTTCTACTGGTTTTGCAGGGCCTTTTCAGATGAAGCCAATCTTTTCATGGGCAGAAGTTTTTGTTTTTATCTGCAAATAGGTGCCCTTTCGTGCCCACAGGCAGTGGCAGGCGTTTTAAAGATCATCCGCTGATCTTCTCGGCGTTCTCCTTCCTCGGGCTTTGGCCGCACAGGAACCGCCAAAAGCTCAAGGTATGAACACTAACCTCTTCTACGTCTGAGTTTTTGAGTTACACGCCGAGCCGTCAGGAAAGTGAAATGAGCTTCTCAAGAAGGGTGAACCACCGTAAAGGTGAATATGTTTCATTTTTTGCTCGATTCCGTTTCTCTCTACGGATATTAGTTCCCTTTCATTACTTCCTTTATGTAAATTCTTGCCAATTCCAAGATATTTTTTGAACGACACAACCAAGGCAGCGCCCCTGTACATAAGTGGATTCCCTTGAATTCTTGTGTTTCCCCTATTCTCCTATAAATGGGGTAAAATCCTGTTTTCGACTATCGTTGGCGTCGCATATTCAGGAACTTTCTTTTTTTATACGTGTAACGCGCGCGAATAACCCACCCCACCTTCGGTGGGGTGAAGGAGTGTTTTGTGGAACTTATTTTTTCTAGACTCGTGGACTTTTTTTTTCCCATTTACTTTGTGAACTCTTTTGCCGTTTGCGCCCTGCCCCTTTCGAGTGGAATACAATAAGCCCCCCTTTGAGAAATAATTTTGGGAACCTATAGTGGAACATGCCAAGCGGCAAATTAAACGGTCTTGCCGTGGAAAAGAAATTTCGTTTTTTTTTCCCTCCCACCCAAGCAACGCGACCAAGAGGGCCGCGAATATCGGAACAATCGCGGCAGCGAACGAAACCTTTTTTTTTTTTTTTTTTTGAGTTTCCTCGTTAAGGTTTCGAGTTCCTTTCTCAGTATCGTGGGCTCGTGTTTGGTGTGGTTTGTGACCTTCGTTTTTTTTTTTTTTGGTGGGGCTCGGCGCGTGTATTGGTGTCGAAACCAACACTCCGTCCAAAAGAAAGGTGGTCGGCGCACTCACGGGGCGATCCGTGGGGCGTCACGCTTTCAAAAGCGAAAACCCTCAAATGAAAGTGGAATTATTCTTTTTTACCGAGCTTTTGGATTTTGCATTCCTCTGAAACCGCAAGGAGATTTGGGTGTGGGGCTTCTTTCTTTCTTCTTCGAGTTCGTTCGCGCTTGCTTTGCTATTTTCCCTTCCCCCCAGTAGTGGCGCTAAAATATATGTATTGGAGCTTATGGTCGGGAATTATCCCCACCCCGCCCGTTAGGGCCCCCGTTTGTGAAAGGGCCATCCCCCTCGCACCGCGACGCCCCGTGGGAATTTGTAATTTTTGCGGTTTTGATTTTCCCTTTCGTTTTTTACCGCATTTAGTGTTTCCTTTAAAGCCCATTTCCTTGAAGGTGGGGTGGGCGCTGATGTTTGTAGTTTTATTGTTCGTGGAACTCCTTCCCGCCTCGCCGGCGATTTGCCGGCCGCAAAGGTATCGCCGTTTAAAAAATTATTGTTTGTATGGTGAAAAATGTTTTAGGGAGTGAAATGGACATTTGTTGTTGTTTTGCGCGGACCATTCGACTCTGTTACATGACTCGCCTGCGTTTGGAACGGCGAATCTTGCTCTTTCAGGTGCCGTTGTTTCTTCGCCTTGCGGCTTGGAACTTATAGAGGAAAGCAGTCGTTATCCTTTTGAGGGTTGGCAGATCACCTCGTGCAATTACTGGATGTGTGCAGCAGGATTATCCTTTCACGATTCTGTGATGTGCAGTTCTTCAAAATAGCCGCACTCTCCCCAACTTGGTATGCCTAGATGGCGGCCAATGTCCCCCTCAGAAATTGGAGAAGCTGGGAATACAAAGCCAATCCCTCTTTTATAGTAATTCCGCCTCGCTGTTACCGGCATCGGAAAACAAACAAACAGTTGTGCAGCTAAAACCTTCCCTGATGCGATGGAAAACGTGTATCCCATAGCCCCCTTAAATATTAGAATGCCCTCTCCCGAACGCTTCTTCAAATTCTGCGGGGTTTTTCTGATCTCCCGAAGGGCCTGGGGCCACACCCCGGAGGGGGTGGAGACGGCGAGGGCGCCATGTTAACCACCAACCGGCCATTTTGCAACGTAAGTTGCTCTATCAGTTTCGACGTTGTTCGCTTCATTCTCTTTATATGCGAGCATTGGTGATGTGGGGCGCTTCGTTTGTGGTTGTGTGGTTCTTGGGCCTCTTTTGGGCATTGTGTATGTGAGTCGCGGTGGTTTGTCCGTGCGTATTCCTCTTGAAGTTGCTCAACTCTCTCATTAATGAACTCTTGCGCGTGTGTTAAATGCTATTTGAGGTCTTATGATTCTGTATTTTCACTTTACTGCAGCGAAAACGTAGGAAAGACTGGAAGAATACCTCAAACTTGGTCGGCGCCCCGGTTCGCAGGAACGGCCTCTGCTTTTTACCCCGCCGAGCCCGCTGGAGTTTGGATTCGGGTGGGGCGGGGGTGGGGTGTTGAACAAACCCTCCCTGCGCACCCATTGGTTTGCTAAACTTTCCACCCTTAAAGAGGGTAAATGGTCTATGCGTGCGTTGTGAAAACCGAAGCGGGGGTCTCCGCAATAACGAACGCCAGGCGAAAGGCCGGAAGGTTGTGGAAGGGAGGGAAAGGTCACCCCATGCCATATTCAAGGGGCGCCTTTCGCGGAAAATAGGGTGAAGGTATTTGCGTCTTCCTCGCTTCTGTTTTCAATCTGTGGATCCCGGGCCCTTCTGCCTTTTCAATTGGGTTGGGCAATAAAAAAAAACTCTGGGCTCACTCTCTCGCGGGGGGTGGGGCCCGTGGCGAAGGCGAATTCGTTTTAATCATCTGCAATCTTTGGGGCGAGCGCATAAAAAAAAAAAAAAGTAATCCCGTCAAATCATCACAAAAACAAGCAAACAAATCAGCACTTCTTTAAAACTGAAAGTTCGCGTTGCTACCCATGGCCGGCCGGACGGTGGGGTGGGGTGGTTGATGCCCATGCTATTTCCAATCGGTGGGAGGCGGTCGTTCGGGTGATCCGCCGTGGGCCCGGTTGTTGCGCTTTTCGGGGGGCCGGCAGGTTCCCAGAACGGCTTCTTCCGGACGATGGGGTCGCATCGTTCTTTTCCAAACTTCTGCGCTCCCGGGTGTCGGCGCGCAAAAAGAGAAGGGAAAAAAAAAGACGGTCGGGGTTTCTTTTTTTTTCCGTTTTGTCTTTTCTCGGGTCGGCGGGTTTTCGGAGGGGCTTCGCTTTCCTTTGTCCCTGGGGGCGCGGTCTGGCGAAAAAAAAAAAATTTTTTTTTATGATGGGGAAACCTTTGGAAGGTTCCTCGGCTGTTTGGGCCGTCGTTTTTTTTTTTTTTTTTTCGTGGCATCTGGTGTTGGTGAAACGGGTCTTCTGTTGTTGTGGTCGTTTCTGGTTCTATTGTGTTTGGTTTTATGTTTTTTTTTTTTTTCTGGGAGAGGCGCGAGGGGTTAAAGCGAGGTCGTTTTTTTTTTTTAAGTGTTTTTTTTTTGTTTTTCTCTGAGTTGTATTTTCACAATCTTGCTATATTTTTTTTTTTATATATTATAAGTCTGCCGTTTCTGTTTTTTCTCCTTACGATCACTTGTAGTTTTTCTTTTTCTTCTTTTTTTTTTTTTTCTTACAGTTTATCTCTTTCCGCGTATACATATATATTCTTATACCTTTCTTGAAAATTTAGGGCCTCTACGTCGTGATTTGCTTTTCTTTTGATTTTTTTCTTTTATTTGCGGATGAGATTGGTGACACCGTTTTTTGTGATTATTCTTTTAGTATATATTCCTTACTTCTGCGAGGGTGAGAGTCGATCAAACCTTGAAACTCATGACACAATACCAATTGAGATTCACCGCATTATTGCTGTTGGAGACGTTCACGGTGATTTAGATCATTTCCTTAAAATTTTATCTATGGCAGATGTTATAGCCTTTCCCAACAATGATACTAACGATGTGGTGTGGAAACCAAAATGGGAAAATAAAGAAATCGAATTACACAGAACCCATCGCACAAAACTTCGTACAACCTTGGTACAAATGGGTGATCTAATAGACAGAGGAGCTAATGATTTAGGTGTTCTTGAAATGGTCTTTTCACTTTTTGATCAAGTTAAAAAAAACCATACGAGCGATAATTTGGTCCTGCTATTGGGTAATCACGAATTACTTAATCTTCAAGGACAGTTTTATTACGTTGAACCAGAATCTATGGGTGGATTTCTAACAAAGACTCTGCGCAAACGCGCGTTTGAAAAAAATGGTGAATTTGGAAGTTTTATCTTGGAGAATTTTACTGTTCTTCATCTAGAAGATAGTACTGTTTTTGTTCATGCCGGTCTTAATGAACAAGTTGCTTCAATGGGAGTTGAAGCAATAAATAAGGTAACGAAACAAGCAGTGCAAGATAAAGACTATAGACATCCCCTTCTGGGAAGTTCTGGACCCCTATGGACGCGACAAATGATAATGGATGCTATGAACGGTCATTGTACGAATATTCAAAAAATGCTTCTGGCTATTGGTGCGGAAAGGATTGTAGTGGGTCACACACCACAGAGGTCGGGACATGTTGAAACCTATTGTGATGATAGCGTAATTGCTGTTGATGTTGGATTAAGCAAGTGGATGTATGGTAATCTTGCTGCTCTTGAAATACTGGTCAAGACACATAAAATAGGTTCTGGTGCCAAAAAAAGCGTCGAGATTCGTGAGATAATTGCTTCTGATACTAGAAGGAGTCAAACACTTGATGAGGCTCTTGATGACTCTTTGGTCCTGGAAGAATTGCAACATGCTGTGGAGGAATTTCGTCATCGACAAAATACGCGGGACCAGGAAGAAACACTTGGTGATTTGTGATTTGTAATTTTCCGTTTTTTTTTTTTTTTATCCCTAACTTGATTAATCTTCTTTTCCCTTTTAAACATTTTTTTCTTTTTTTTTTTTTCTTACATATCTGTTTTCTGTTTCTATCATTACTTGTGGTCTCTCTTTTGTTTTTGTTTTTATCTTTCAAATAGTATTTATTAAATTGTGAGGTCTGCCTAATTGATATGCCTTCTAGAACATCACGCCCTAGGAGAGGAAGACCAGAGGAATCCAGAGGTGCTTTTCCTGCTCCGTCTTCTGATGGGGCTAATTTCTATGGTTCACAACATCAGATGATGCCTCCGTTTCTTGCGGTCTCGAATGGTTTTAATCAACCTGTTTTTATGATGCCCACGGCTAATCAAATGCCTTTTCAAGGTACGTATCAACAGAATTTTCAGGTATCTGCTCCTAATAATCGACAAACTCATGGATCTAGAAATAATAATAATAATAATAATAATAATAATAATAATAATCGTAATAATCGTAATAATAATAATAATAATAATAATAATAATAATAATAATAATAATCGTAATAATAATAATAATAATAATAATAATAATAATAATAATAATAATAATAATAATAATAATAATAATAATGGTAATAGGAGTAATTACTCATCAAGTATGGCACGACGTATAAATAATAATGAAAGAGTATCATATCAACAATTTCACGATCCATGCTCTATACCATATACAAATGCGACAGAGTATACTGCTACTAATACTAATAATACTAATAATAATAATAATAATAATGGAGAAATTGCTTGGACAAAGAAAACCGTCTATGCTATGATAAAAGCTTTTGTAGATGACCCAAATACTAATGAAATGACATTTCCTTCAACTTTGAGTGCTGCCGATCGTCTTTTGGTGCATCAAGCTGCGATAAATTTTAATCTCTATCATCGTTCTTCTGGGAGTGGATCCGATCGTGTATTGACATTAAGGAAAATTGGAAGTATTACTGAACAAGAAAAACAGCAAGAAATAGCAGCTCATGGTGGAATTAGGATGAAAACTATTGATGGATATCAAGGGGCTCAGAGACTTCCTGATGATTATGTTCTATCAAAAGTAAAGGAAATCAGATTCCTGGTGGAACCTTTACTAAAAAAAATGTACAGGAATTTAAAGGCAACTGCCTGCAAAGGATTACGAAATCGTGAAATATTAGCTATACAACCTGGGCTAAGTAAAATTCCAGAAGGAACTATCCCTCTTAACAGATTTCAGGAATTACAAGCATTTCGACATTCATTACCTTCATATAAAAGAAAAGATGAAATCATTGCAGCTGTGAAGGAAAATGATGTTGTTATTGTAAGTGGTGATACCGGATGTGGTAAGACTACACAAATACCTCAAATATTGTATGATGCAAACATATTTCCTAAAGATCAAGAGATAATATGTACACAACCTCGAAGAATTAGTGCACTTTCCGTTGCACAACGTGTTGCGGAAGAGCGTGGTGAATTATGTGGTAATAGCTGTGGTTATATTATTCGCTTTGATAATATAACAAGTTCAAAAAGTAAAATTGTTTATATGACAACTGGTATTTTGCTACGTCGTCTACATGCTGACCCAGAATTAAATGGGGTTTCGTGTATTATTGTTGATGAAGTTCATGAAAGAGATGTGGAAACAGATTTTTGCTTACTATTGCTACGTGACAGACTATTAGATCAACAGAGAAGAAAACAAGGAGGTAAACATAATGTTAAAGTAGTTGTAATGTCTGCAACTGTACAGATTGAAAAAGTGACATCTTATTTTTCCTATACTAATACTCAGAAAACACCTCCAGTTATTAGTATTCCTGGAACCTTATTTCCGGTAGAAGTACATTTTTTAGAAGATGCTTTAAAATGGGTGAATATGCCATATTCCGCTGTTCCTGCTATGTCAATGTTAACTAGCAGTTCTAAAGAAAAAAATGAAACAAATACTACAGATAATCAGAATAAGCAGAATATATTTGAAAAAATTAAAGATACAGCTTTTGATGAAGTAAATCGTGATCCAGAAGCTTTAGTACCTTATGAACTTATATTTAAATTAATTGCGTATATTCATGGACGTTCCCGTGATTTATCAGAAAGTGTATTAGTTTTTCTTCCCGGATGGGCATCTATAGCTCGAATAACAACTATGATTCAGAGATCACCTATTGCGAAAGAATTGTCTGTATTACAGCTTCACTCAAGTTTAACTGCGGCAGAACAACAACGAGTTTTTAATCGTCCTCCTAAGCGTTATCGCAAAGTGGTACTTTCAACAAATATAGCAGAAGCGAGTGTAACTATTGATGATATTGTTTATGTTATTGATAGTTGTTTAACAAAAGGTACATCTTATGATCCCATAGGAAATACTTCAGCTTTAAAGGCGACATATATTAGTAAGGCTAATGGACTTCAACGTCGTGGTAGAGCTGGTCGATGTAGAGCTGGTTTATGTATTCATCTTCTTCCACGTTCAGCATACGAATCTTTACCAGATTTTCTACTTCCTGAAATAGTTAGAACACCTTTAGAGGAAGTATGTTTACAAATAAAAGCCTTAAAGCCAGACGAAGAATGTGCAAAAGTTTTGAGTCGTGCTCTAGATGCTCCACCAGAAGATTCAACAGAACATGCCGTAAGATTTTTAAAAGATATAAGTGCTTTTACATTTGAAAATGAACGTTTAACAAGTCTAGGTAGAGCACTTTCAAGACTTCCAATTCACCCTTTGTTGGGTAAAATGTTACTTGCAGCAGTTTGTTTGGGAGTTTTAGAACCAGTAGCAACAATAGCAGGATATCTATCTGGAAAATCACCTTTTATTAGACCATTACCACATCAGAAAACAGGTTTACGGCAAACAATTCAAAATTTTGATAATGGTCTTTTGTCTGATCATCTTTGTGTTGTAAAACTCTTTGATGAATGGAAAAAATCCGGATGTAGTCCAGATTATGCTATGCAACATTTTGCAGATCAAACCATTTTGCGCTCGATGGATCGCATTCGAAAACAACTTTTACGTCTTGTAATGGATTCTTCTTTTCTGCGAAGAGTTAAGGATCCGATACGAATGGCTTCTCGACACTCAAACAACTTTGGATTAATTCGTCTAGCTGCTCTTTGGTCTTTTTATCCTCATATTGCATCAATAGAGTATCGATCTACACGTAATAAAAAGAGAGCAGAATTTCTTTGTTGGGATAACAAATTAGCAAAGCTTTCTATGGGTTCTGCTTTAATGATGCAAAATAAGGACGATTTTAAAGATAGAGCGTTTGTTTTTTATCATGAGCGCATGCAACTCGAGGCAGAATTAACACTATTTGATACCACCGCAGTGACTCCAATTGAGACTGCCTTGTGCCTTCGTGAACTTACACTTGGTCCAATGGCAGAAATTCCTGCAGAATTTCTCAGAGACGAAGAAAGCAAAATGGGCCCTGCATTTCCGTTTTCGTTAGAAGCGAACGAACGTATTGAAGACATGGCGGCGCTTTTTTTTGATAGTGGTAAAAAAGTGTACTTAACATCTTTCCCTGTGGCTTTGGCTGTGCGTGATGTACGTGATTGTATGGATTATTATCTGGCTTTATCTGTTAATGAGGTGCGTGCAGATCTATTTCCAGAGGAACTCACAAGGGCTCTTGCTTACACTATAGGGTATCCTATTGAAGCAAGTGTAGCTGCTGCTGATGATGATAAAAACCATGAGCGTATTACATACACTTCTGAAATTTCAGAACAACCAGATTTGGAGATGATGAAAAATCATGAAAATTTCTATTTGAGTGATGATTCTGCAAATGAAGAAGAAGTACCTGAAATGATTTTAGGGGACCTGGAGGACTTTCAGTTAACTGACGAAGAAATTAAACGGGTAACTGCTGAACTTGGGGAGTTGGCATTGTTTAACCGTTATAATGGCGGGCGTCTACTCCAGGCGTTTCAAAAGGGTGAAGAGCTTCGTCAGAATGACGTTAACATAGAGCAGACTGTAGAAGAGAATCCCGAGAAGGAAGAAGAGGAAGAGGAAGAGGAAGAAGATGATGATGATGACGTTATTGTTGCACAAGCAGGTGAATTGGTATTAGATGATGATAATTACTAGTAGTACTAGAAAAAAAAAAAAGAAATTTTCTCTTTGTTTCACAATGGAATCCAGTTTTCAAGCGAAAATTTTGATTATCCACTCTTCTGTTTTATGTTTCTTCCATTTTAGCTTCCTTCTACACAACATGAATGAGCGCTGAAGTTTTTTTTTTTCCCCCTGATTCTCTTTTTTTAAGTGTCATAATATCATATATAACAATAATAATAACAATAGTAATATATATATATATATATATATATATATATATATTTCTGACTTTTTTCAGTTTTACCGAAGTGTTCTTTGATATGTGTTCTCAGAAAACTCTCCGCGTAAGGCGGTTAACGATGATTGAGTCAGCAGAGGATGTATCTTTCTGGTTGACAAGGGTTCAAGAGCAGTGGTGTACCAAAGATCCTATTGCTATACGAGTGAAGTCAGGTGATGGTGTAATTGGATCTACTATTCCTCTTCTCTTTGGGTATCATTCTGATAAGGTGGGTTGGTGGGGTATGAATTGGGATTCTGCAGATACTATCGATCAGCTTAGCCGCGAGATAGAAACTAGTAATGATTTGCTAGGAGAGGGATTTGCTTTTACAGTGAGAGAAGAACCATCTACACTTTTAGCTCTTGATATCATAACAATAACAGGGAAAGTTTTGGCTATCGGGGTTCTTGATATCCGGGCAGCCTTTCTAGAAGAAGAAGAACTGCAGTCATATTGTCTTTCTTTGGTGCCAGAGTCATGTGTTGTGGACGATGAAACGGTTCATGCTGTCCTTAAAGTGGAAGTTATTTCCAGTAAAAACTGTCGTGAGATAACTCCCATATCGTGTGGTATACCTACTTCTATTAATTGTGGAGTTGTTGAAATATCTACCACAAAACTCTTCTTCCCTTCTTGTTTTCTCACTGGGAGTGGTTCTTTTGTTGTATCTAATGTCATTTGCATGAAAAACATTACAACTGACAGCATCACAATACAACTGGCTTTGACAGGCAGCAACGACTGCATTCATATGCATCCACCAGGCAAAGTAAGTGTGGAGGCAGGTAAAAAGGCATACTTTGTCATCACTTGGGATGTATTCAAGAAGTTTGCCTCTAAAACGAAAGAAGGTGTACCAATCGAGTTGCATGTCATGATTTTTGCAGAAGGAGAGAGTGTTCAGCCCATAACATTTGAGATGTTTGGACAATCACCTGGAGCGTCTTCCTCTAATATGGCATATCACTATTGGGTAAATACGACTCTTATTACCAATAGACCGTGCTCAGCAGAAGATGTTGCAATGCTCAAGACAATCCTTCCCGTGTTTCAGGTAAGTAAATCATGTTTGGTTACAGACCTTCCACCCAACTATGAAAATATCAATTAATTTCCTCCCATTTGACTACAAATTTCAATATTTATATATTTATTTATATTGCCTCCTAAATTTTTATCTTTATTTTTATTGTTTCTCCGGTTCTTTTTGATCCTCTTATTCATTCATTCACTCACTCACTCACTCACTTTCTCATTTTTATCCCTTTTTTTTTCGTGTTCTTTCTCTTTATTGGATATATTGCGTTGGTGGAAAAGGCGTTTTCGCCATCAGCGGCTCAAAGCAACCAGGAGTCCTGTTTTCACCTCACCTCACTCTATTGGATTTTTCTTTGCTCTTTCAGAGGGCGGCAGCGGCACCAGTAGGAGGAGCCAGAAAGAAAAATAATAAAAGAAAAAAGGAAAAAAATATCGAGGAAGATGAGTGCAACGACAGATATGAGTATGTCATTTTGGGTTCGCCCCGTGAACCATGATGATGAAACACACAAACTATTTATTACTCGTCTTGTTTTTATTGATACTGCAGAGGAAACTGAACAGTGGCTTACACGTGTAAGAAAACAGTGGGGATCTAATCGACCTATTGCTGTCCGCGTGATGAACGAGGCGGATCACTTAGGGGCTACAACCCCTAAACCAGTTTCTAGCAACGGTGGCTGGACAGGTGTTAGTTGGAATGATGATGCTACAGGTATTGAACTCCCAAATAATGAAGGATCATTGCTTGTATTGGAGGTCGTAGGAGGTGAAGACGGACGTGTAACGTACGGGGTAGGAATGCTTAATATTGCTGCTGCAATTTCAGAAAAGCGTCAATATGCCAAATACTGTGTGCATCTTTTTCCTACTCAGACTACTATCGATTCTAAGACAGTATATGCACTTTTGGAAGTAGAAATACGTAGCAGTATCTGGGATGGACGTCCAGATGACAGTTTCGCTCCATTGGAGTATAACTTTGGGTCTGTTCGTGTTTCAACAGTAGATTTCTATTTCCCTTCATTTCTCCTTACCGGTGAAGGAGATTATGTTGTTTCCAATGTTATTTGTGCAATGAATGTGACAGAAAACAGCGCACTTGCAATGCAGTTAACACCTCTGCTGGATGCACGCAATTACATAACAGTGGAACCGGCACAGGTCATTACGGTAATGCCTCAACAGCGAGTATATTTTAGCGCAACTTGGAATGTCACGGAACGAGCATGTTTAAAGAAATTAAAGGTACAATTAGTTGTTAACGGAACACAACCTCCCTCCGCTCCCATCCTTATTGATGTTCACCATTCTCCTCCACAACCGAAGGCTGTAGATACACCTTATCACTACTGGTTAAATACGGCATGTGTCACAAATAGACAATTTTCCCTTACACAAGAGTTCCCACTGGTGGTTTCACTTTTACCTATTTTCCGATTCGTTTCAAATGGTCGGGCTTCAGAATTAGGAACTGAAGGTTTTATTGTTGCTCTTGATAAGGACAAGGGAGAAAATGTGCTAGTACGTGCAGATGGAGTTCCTATTGTTAGCGCATTAAACGCGATGAAAGCAGCCCCATGGATGGATTCTACCCTGGAAAGCCTTTCCCTTTCTCAGGCAAGCAATAATACATGGATGTTGCAGAATACGGGAAGACATAATTATTTATCTGACGGACCTATTCTGAATATTTTACAAAAGACATGCCAGTGTGTTATTCACCTTGGTACCATTCGCGGATTACCAATGGTGTATGAGGTTTCTACAGGCGTTTCTCCTTCTTTTCAGGTTAGTATAACACTGCTAGATCAACTGGGCTGGCAAGTGGTAGTAGGTGAAACAAAACCCAGTTATCAAAGTACAAGTGGAAGCCTGAGATGGGATGATCAGCTCGTGTTGCGAAAGTGGCCTGGAGCTAGTTGCAATCAATTTATACGTCTAAACCTCACGGAGGTGCGTCCACGTGATGGGGATGAGACGCCTATAGGAGCTGCCCTGGTGTCGCTCTGTCGCCTTGATCGAACACCTGCAGAAGTGGGGATACAATTAGCTTTCCATGTTTATGAGACATATTCTTTGTATGATACACTACACTCGTCAAGTCTGCTTATGAAAGATGCGTATATCACTTTTTCAGAGCTTTCTAGTGTTGTATAGTCCAGAAAAGTGAAAGAAAAAACAAAAACAACAAGCTTCTATATTGCTGCCGTACTCCTTCTTGTTTTTATTTGTTTTAGGAAGCGAGAAAATAAGAGAAAGGAAGAGAGAGGGAGAAAAAAACGAAACAAAAACAAAGCTTTTGAGAAACGTATAAATCAAGATCTCCTTGAGTATTCCTTTCTCCATGTGTCCTTATGTTCTTCTGTGTGCCTCTGAGTACCTTTTTTTTTTGGGCTTCTCTACAGGTATGTGGCCGTATACGTGTAGATATGTGATTTCCTCCCCTTTCCTGTTTTTCTCTCCAACTGTATGTACGCATTTGTATGCTTCTGTACGGTGTAATAATAATAATAATAATAAAAAAAAAAAAAAAAACAAAATGAAAATGCATTTGTTTTTTCTACTTCATCTATTTCTCTTTTCTCCCAACATTAGTCAAGAGAGGTGCCCTCCCTTTAAACAACAACAAGAAAGAATGGTGAACGCAAACTACATTCGTGCAGGCCGCCTCGTGCGTATTATGCGTGGTCCCCGTCAGGACCGTGTTGGTGTGATTGTTGACATCATTGACGCCAACCGCGTGCTTGTGGAGAACCCCAGCGATGAGAAGATGTGGCGCCACGTGCAGAACCTCAAGAACGTTGAGCCACTCAAGTTCACCGTTGCCGTGTCGCGCAACTGCAGCACAAAGGCCCTCGCAGCCGCCCTCGCGGAGAAGAAGACACTCGAGAAGTACGCCGCCACAAAGGCGGCCACACGCATCGCCGCGAAGAAGGCTCTGGCAACATCCACCGACTTTGAACGCTATCAACTCCGTGTTGCCAAGCGCTCACGCGCCTACTGGACTCGCAAGGTCTTTGACGAGAACGACAAGAAGGCTCCCGTCTCATGGCACAAGGTGGCACTCAAGAAGCTGTTGAAGAACGCCAAGAAGGTTGACAGCAAGCCTGCTGCTAAGAAGCGCATTGAGAAGGCTCGTGCGGCCCGCAAGACGAAGGCGTCCAAGACGGCTAAGGCATAAGCGGAAGCACAGAGTGATATTCTCTCTCTTTGACATTATGAGTTTGTATTCCTTTTTGTTTTTTTTCATTTTTCACAATTATTTTTTCTTTTTTGTGCCTTTTTTTTTGCATATGCTGTCTTCTACTGGGGATTTGCTCAGTATTTTTTTTTTTTTCTTTTAAATTCTGTATACTCACCCTAACAGAAAAACGTTGCTGTCTTTTTTCTTTTCTTCTTCTTCTTTCATCCATACATACGAACTTCTATTCAATTTAGTTCTCCGAAATACTATTCTTGGATGCCAAAATGATCCTTATTGGCCTTACAGGCGGGATCGCATGTGGGAAGTCAACTGTATCAAAGCAGTTGACGGAGAAACATAAACTAATAGTTATTGATGCAGATTCTGTGGTGAGGGACCTACAACGTCCATCAATGCCGTGCACACGGAAGATTGCAAAACGATGGCCGGAGTGCGTTAATAGAGAAACAGGAGAGATTGACCGCCCCGCCTTGGGAAACATTATCTTCCATGATGCAAAAGCCCGCCGGGAGCTATCACGCATTATGAATATCCCAATATTTATTTTCATGATGAAAAAGATCTTGCTATTGTGGTGGAAGAGCTTGTGCAATAGACTGAGAGGTGATAGACCGCTTCTTGTAGTGATTGATGTACCACTCCTATACGAAACTAATATATATACGTGGTTTATAGATAAGGCAGTGGTCGTAGCATGTAACGAAGAAGAGCAGATTGCTCGTCTTGGTAAGCGTAACGGATTCACTCGTAATCAAGCAGTACAACGGATACAAGCGCAAATGCCAATTGAAGAAAAGTGCAGACGAGCCGATTATGTTATACGCAACGACGGTACTCTTGGTGAACTAGAAAAGTCTGTAGACGATTCTGTAGAATGGATGCGCCGACAATCAGGTCGAAGGATGACTTGTGTCATGCTTGTTGTTTTGCTTGGTGGAGTCGCCTGTGGTGCGGTTGTGGCGTTTCCGTTTTTATTGATGCGGTTGTAGTTTCTTGATGACTTTGAAGTTAAGATAATGTAATGGTGGTGCCAACGAAAGGGTGGGAAAAGAAAAGATGTTTTCAGAATCTACCATGATGATAATCACAGTGACACTATGAAGGCAAATTTATCCTACTGAAGTGTTTTTTTTTTTTTTTTTTAATTATGTTCTTTACATCTGTTTTTCTTTCTTCCATTCTTCTTTTTAATTTCATTTTTTTTTTTTTTTTTCAAGGTTTCCTACAGGCGAGGCCTTCTCTATTTTCATAACGCTTCGGCGCACGGTATCACTAAGGAGAATGACTGAGTGGCCCGTTAATCGAGTTCGACAGGAGTTCCTGAACTTCTTTGAACAGCGTAACCACACTTTCGTTCCGTCAAGTCCTGTGGTTCCTCTCAATGATCCAACTCTACTGTTCATTAATGCAGGTATGAATCAGTTCAAGAACCTTTTCCTTGGTACAGCAGATCCCAATACGGACTATGGCCGCCTTGCCCGTGCGGCAAACTCACAACTTTGCATTCGAGCAGGAGGTAAACACAATGATCTTGAAGATGTTGGCCGAGACACATACCATCATACCTTTTTTGAGATGCTTGGTTCATGGTCCTTTGGCGACTATTTCAAGCGTGATGCGATCAAATGGGCATGGGAGCTACTGACAGAGGTTTACAAACTTCCAAAGGATCGTCTGTACGTAACATATTTTGAAGGGGATCCAGCAAATGGAATACCTGCAGATGAGGAAGCGAAACAAATATGGCTAGAACTTGTGCCACCAGAACAAGTTATTCCTGGAAATGCAAAGGATAACTTCTGGGAGATGGGTGAGGTTGGCCCCTGTGGACCTTGCTCAGAAGTACACTTTGATCGTATCGGTGGACGTAATGCTGCTGCACTAGTAAATAAGGACGATCCAATGGTAATTGAAATTTGGAACCTTGTGTTCATGCAGTTTGAACGTCGTGAAGGTGGTGTACTTGTACCATTACCAAAAGCACATGTGGATACTGGTATGGGCCTTGAACGGTTAACATCCATCATGCAAGGAGTTCACTCAAACTATGATACTGATGCCTGGACACCACTGTTTGAGGCTATTCAAAAAGTTACAGAGTTCCCCAAGTCTTATGCTGAAATCCGTGATGATACTAATTCTGACGCTACTATAGCTTACCGTGTAGTAGCTGATCATATTCGTTGTCTCACTGTTTCATTGGGTGATGGTGCCATGCCAGATTCTGTAGGCCGTGGTTTTGTCTTACGCCGTATTATTCGTCGTGCTGTGCGCTACGGTGTGCAATTTCTTGGTGCTAAAGTAGGTTTCTTCAGCCAACTTGTGGACGCAGTTGTGGCGTCATTGGGACCTTTCTTTACACACTTGCAGGATCCTCGTACAGTGCAGCGTATTAAAACAGTACTCGCGGATGAGGAGACTTCCTTTGCCAAGACATGGGAAACAGGACTTAAACATTTTAATAAAGCCGTTGCTGAGGCGACTAATAATACCATAAGTGGTGAAAACGCCTTTATTCTACATGATCGTTACGGTTTTCCTGTTGACTTAACATGTTTGTTGGCAGAGAAGGCAAATATGCGAGTGAATTTGGATGATTTCCACGCTACAATGAAGGCAAGTCAGCAGAGTTCAGGTCGTGTAGCTGCGGCAAAGACATTTATAGACGTACACCAAGTAGAAGAACTTAAGAGTAAAGATATTCCTTTAACTAATGACACTACAAAGTATGTCTGGGAAGATAGTACATCAGAAGTGGTGGCCATCTTTGACAAGAAAAATGGTTGCTTCGTAGACATGTTACTACCTGGTGAAGGTGGTGAAGAGGATTTTGGTATTATATTGGATTCCACAAACTTCTATGCAGAGTCTGGTGGTCAAATTTATGATACAGGTCGTATAGTTGCTGCCGCTGATGCTATATTTAACGTGAAAAAGGTATATAATATTGGTGGTTACGTGGTTCATGTGGGTAATATGGAGAAAACATCATCTCCTCCTGTTCCCATTCCTCTTACAGCAGCAGTGGAATTGCAGGTAAACTACAAGCGACGTTTGCCTATTGCAGCAAACCATACTTCGACACATGTCCTCAATTGGTGTTTGCGACGTGTACTTGAGGAAGAGACACCAACAAACTATATGGAAGTACAACAGAAGGGTTCACTCGTTACAGATGAGATGCTACGCTTTGACTTTAGTTATAATGGAAAAGTTAGCCAAGAGGATCTTATCAAGATTGAAAATCTTCTTAATGAGAAGATTAAAGAGAATCTTGTGGTATATCGCAGAGAAGTGCCACTCGAGAGTGCAAAACGCATTGAAGGATTACGTCAAATGTTTGGTGAGAAGTATCCAGATCCTGTCAGTGTTATCTCTGTTGGTGTACCCATTGAAGACCTCATTACGAACCCTGAAAATCCTGAGTGGCGTGCTTTTGCCATTGAGTTCTGTGGAGGTACACACTTATCAAACTTGAAGGAGGCTGAACTCGCTGTTATTATCTCAGAAGAGGCACTCATGAAAGGTGTACGTCGTCTTGTTGTTGTGACGCGCGAAGCTGCAGAGAAAGCCCATGCGGAAGGAGAATTACTGCAACAGGAGTACAGTGAAATATTAGCCAATGAGGGAGTTGCAACTGTTGCGAAAAGGCTCTCAGTACTCAATAAGAAGGTTGGCGACAGCTCCATTCCGCTGACGCTGAAAAATATACTTCGTGAGAAGATAGATGGCAGTATTAAGACAGCACACGCCAATGCCAAAGCTATGGCCGCACAACTGAAGGAAAAGGCCACTGCAGCGGGACGTGCAGCAGGAGAGTCATATGATGCAGCGACCAATCCATTTCTTGTGCAGCGCCTTACAGAGTATGGGGCCGACCGTGAGGCTTTGCAGGCGTACATTGAGGGTTTTAAGAGTGCCGTAAAGGGTGATGTTGGTCTCTTTCTAATTGGTGTTGGAGATGCCGTAGCTATTGCGTTGGTGGATCTTCCAGCGGCGTTTACATCACGTAAGTTGAGTGCTGTTGACTGGGCAAAGGCGGCAGTGGGCAAAGGTGGCGGCAAACCACATTCTGCCCAATCAGGATTTGCTCTTGCAGATGTTGAGAAGGTATTTGAAAAGGCAGTGGCAGCGGTGGATAAGATGAAGAGTATGCTGTGATTCTCTCCATGTTTATCCTCTACATAGCTATACACGAAGATATTTTCTTGTGAAAAGTGAGGGGCCAAGTGGAAGAAGACGAAAAAAGAGAAGAACATTGAGAAATTATGTTCATTTCTATTTACTTTGAGGTACAGTACGCATTTTGAACCTTTTGATTCAAAATAGAACGGGGCACAACTGCAATCGACAAGGGTAAAAAAAAAAAAAAAAACGAAAGGAAGGAAAAAAAAAGAAAGAAAAAAAAAAGAAAGGAAAGGATGAGATTCTTACCATCATTTCCATTTATTATAATTTGTCATCATCTTTTGTTTATTTGGCCCGACTACGAAGAATAAGAAGAAGGAGGAAGATTTAAGGGGTGGTGATTCTTCAATTTTGCAACCATTATTAAGTATGATTAATAATAATGATAATTATTATATATATTAGGGTTTGCAGAGGAATAAAAAAAAGAAAGCAGAGGAACTGCGTAAGAAGGATAGTAAGGTCTAAAAAAGAAAAGAAGAAATAATAATAAAAAAAATAAAATGGACTCTGAGAGTCGATACTATTGTCACTTTTCTTGTTACTTTTATGTACAAAACATTTATTTTATTTTTTCTATTTATATATTTCCTGTTGTTCGATTGTATTATTAAGATAAGGTATACTCTTCTGCGTGATAGACACACCTTACATTCTTTCTAGGTTGTCCAAGCGGCAATGTCAACGGATGAGACAAAGAAAACTCCACCCTCTTCACCAACCAAAGCAGCAGATCCAGAGAAGGAAGAAGAGACCGTAAGTGTACCTCTGGACGAGAATGATATCTCTCTGCAGCCAAGCCCTCTTGCACTCGTCCTTCGTCATCAATGGCTTGCGGAGTCTAAAAGTGCCTTAAGAGAGGAGGAAAGTGTTGCCCGTCTGGAACTCCTGCGGGCATGCCACGATGATTTCCTCGCGATTGTGCGCCAGTCACTCTTCACGCTGCGGAAAGACTCTCTCGCCCTCGCCGCCGTGCAGGAACGGCGGTGGATGGTCACCCACATGCAAGACAAACAACGGGTCGTTAGTCAAGAAAAGGTCCAACACAATACAAGAGCAGATGTACAACACCCACATCACACAGTGGTAAATAATAATAATAATAATAATAATAATAATAATAATAATAATAATAATAATAATAATAATAATAATGGTAGTAATAAAAATAATAATGGTAGTAATAATAATAATAACACTAATAGTAGTGAATTTGCAGCCGACGAAGACGCCACGACAAAACACCTGTATCGACTACGTGCGAACAATGTGCGCCGTATGACTCGACAATTGCGGGAGAAGCAGAGACTCGTTGCGACGTTTGCAGAACATGAAATGCGCAGAACAAAGGCAGCAGAAAGACGTGAGAAGCTCTTTTCAATAAGAAGACGTGAACAAGGCAAGAATAATGCAACAATGGAGGACGTATTCACAAGGAAAAAAGAAGAAGAATACCACCACCACCACCAACAACAACAACAACAACAACAACAACTGCCGGAACATCGGTGTAAGACTATACGTGATGAAAGGAGGAAACGTGCCCTTGATTACAGATCTCGGTTTATGGAAGAACGTAGAAAACGTCAAGAATCTATACAACAATTGGAAGAAAATGTACGTGTATTCTTAGAAGGATGTCGTACTGTTTTTTTAAATGGTATTGTAGAACTACGGGATACGGCAGCATGTATACATGACATGCACTGCGATGGACTTCTGGGGGACGCCAGTGCCGTTGCTCAACAACTTCAGGAAGGTCTAAGCGACATATCTGAAGATCCCTGCACATCCCTCAAAGTGAAGGAAGAGTGTCGGCGGGAAAAACAGAGACGAGAAGATCAAAGTGGCACTACCACAATACCTCCTTCTCCTTCTCCTTCTTTTAATGCTACTGCTGCTGTTAATACAAATTCCAATGCTAAGTTTGTTGATGCTTCAATAAGGACTCCCTGTAAGGGGTCTCAATGTCCAATCTCTTTGGCCTTTTCATCGCCGCTGCAGAAGTCAACTTTATCGAGCGGCAAAAAGAAGAAAAAGACGGAGATTACACCTATACGTGATACAGATTATATGCGATTGTGTGGTACAAAAGAGACTTTAATACTGTCGTTAGCTGAAGTTTCACCAGCATTGCATAACGACACTTCTGTGACTCGGCGGTCTCAATCATTATGTGTTTCTCCACCCAACTGGAGGTAATATATATATATATATATATTTTTTTTTTTTTGTTACCTCTCTGTTTATCTGTCTATCTACCTATCTAATGTCTCCCCTTCTTTTCTTTCCTTTCAACTTTATCGGAATTCTTGTATCTCAATTAGTCTTGTTTCCTCTAACTGACATTTTCAATTTTTTTTTTTTCTTTGACTATATTCCTTATCTTATATCTATATGTGTTTTTATGGGCAGATTTTATGCTTAATGGCGAACTATGCTTTCACTGGATAATTCTTTGATTCTCTTGTTTTTTTTTTTGGTTTCTCTGTCTAAAGTTTTTTTTTTTTTTCTGATATAGGACCCTAACACAAGGGTATCAGCGTAGGTATATTCCTCCTCATTTTTTCAAGGGTGAAAAAAGAAAGAAGGGCATATATTGAGTTGGAGGAGGTGTAGAATATAGAGTATATATAAATAAATAAATAAATATATATATAATATATATAAAAGAAAACGTATATATATATATATATATATATATATATACCTTATTGTTTCTCTTCTCAAACCCAGTTCTGCAGGGAATGGATAATTATGTGCTCCCTGTAGCCAGTGGTAGGAATGTTCATGGTTCCTTCAGTGACTGCACACAAAATAGCTGGCAGTGGTTATCACGCAAGCCAATAAGTAGTGAACACCCACTCTGCCGCGGGAACAGTAACATTAATAGTAATAGTGACGGCAACAGAGATAAGAGCAGTAGTAATAGTAGTAGTAATAGCAGTAGTGGAATTGCAGTTACGCTGGCGGCAGAAAGTGGAGTATTCGTTCCTGCGCCAATTCGTCCACGGATGAGTAAGTTGCGGTTTCCACAACTAGCATCGCCATCACAAAGTAGAAGAAGTCCCTCTAGTGGGGTTTCTGATTCCTGCTTTACAGCAGCCAAAGGGGAAATCCGTGAACCACGGAGAATTGTGAAACATGTAGAGTTTCAGCTTCCTGCAGAAACCTCCCGTCCGACGGAGGCAATCAAGCCTACAAGCGTTTCTTCTTTTTTCCCCATGAATGAATCCCTCTCTAACCGAAGCATTAGCAAGAGGAGCAAGGGCAACAATAACAACAACAACAACAACAACAACAACAACAACAACGAATTCAAGAATCCAAACAAAAACAACAATGTGATGACTTCGTTGAAAGGCAATACCACGGATGGTCAAACGGTGCTTGAGTTCTTCTCAGTGTCGAGTTCTCCTTTATGGGTAGAGAACATGAGAAATGATTATGGCCCGCATGGGATGAGCAGCAGCAGTTTCAGTATGGATTCTGTAATAGACATTGCTGCTGCACAGACATTTCAGCGGAATGGAGCACGTCGAGCACGAGCTGCGGGTCCAGGTTTTGATCAATTCACATCGCCAGTATGTCAATTCTGATATTTAATAAGAAATCAAAGACCCAATAAAATAAAGAGATTTTTGGTGATTGTTAATAATAAAAGAATAGGAGAGGTTTGTGCTGACCAGTGAGACTCAAGTACCCTTGTTCGCACAAAGGAAATTTGATTCTAGGAACTGGTACTGGTAACAAACGATATCTTTCTTTCTTTTAAAATTTTTTTTAAAAATTAAAAAAAAAGTTGTGTTATTTTTATTTTTTATTTTTGCGTTTGATTTTCTGCCCTCTGCTTTCTGTGCCTATAGGCTGTTTCTTTCAGTGATTGTATCAGCTGTTAAGGGGTATGTCCTGCGAATAGTATGTAGATGTTTTTTTTTTTTTTTCTGCCAAATGCCTTTCTTTTTTTTTGTTAAGGCTGTGTTTTGTACGGCATTGCCTCTCACGACCACTTCTGTGGTTTTTCTTTCATTCTTTTCTACTCCTTAATTTCTTATCCTGCTTTTTTTTTTTTTTGTGCTATTTTTCATTTCTCAGTGCCACACCCCCTTTTGTTTGTCTTCTTTTTAGAATTCCCTATTACTCTATGTATGTGTATATCTATATGTGATTGAATATATTTATTTATTCTATTTAATGTGTTTTTCCCTCTTGCTTTATGTATATGTATATATATATATATAAAGTATGTGTTTGAAGTTTGTGTGAAGGTAGTTATGAAGATATGTATGGTGCAAATTTTTGTATTTATGAAGTATATTTCTGCCAAATATTGTTTTGGAGTTGTACACATCTGGAGTAGCTCAGAACTGTGTAGATGTATATGTTCGAGAGCCTACCATTGGTTACAGTTCTGAATAGTCCAATTCCTTTTTGAATATAGTACACTCTATTGTTGTTGAAAATGGACGAGAAGTGTTTTTCAAAGGTCTTTACGCGATATCTTTTTTTTTTTAATCTTTTTACAGGCTTTTTTCTCACCTATTTTTTTTTTTATTCCAGTATCAATGTGGGTGTTTGGCACGTAGAATATCACTCTGCACTGTAAAAGAGAAGGCTGTGGGGGAAAAGGTCATTTATGATCGCATGGTGAAGGGTTTATTTAAAATAAATTTTTTTTTTTTGATTTGAGGAGCTTCTAGGGAAGTAGGCTTTTTGGGAATCAAGTGCCTCAACGTTGGTGTTTTCGTATTGCATTTTTTTTTTTTTTATTTTTTCCACTCTTTCACCACTCATGATAATAATATATATATTTATTTGTTTTTTCACGCTTCTGCCCCAGCTCTTTTGTTCTGTTTTGAGTGGAAATTTCGTTGATAGCGAGATGAGTCTATTTTTTTTTTCCCCCTGTACTTGCTGCGGCTGTTGTAGCTGCCACTCCCCTTGAGGGTCCCTTCCCATGTTGTGACTCTGTGGTGTGGTGTGGGGATATGGCTGTGGTTTGTGCTTATTTTATTCCATAGATAATGTGGGCTTTGTTTGTTTGCTTGTGTGTTTGTTTGTTTGTTTGTTTGTTTTTATGTATATTGCAGTGTCTGTGTGTTTGCTTGCTGGATCGTTGGGGGAATGGCGCACGTATAGGGAAGCTGGAAGTGTAGATATCCATTTTCCTCTCATACTTTTCCATTTCTTTATTATTATTATTATTATTATTATTATTATTATTATTATTATTATTCTTGCCGTGATGAATCAAGAGGAAAAGGCATTTCTCACACCGCTTTTTTTTTGTTTTACTGCGCGATTGTAGTCGGTTGAATGTATTTAATTATCAGAAAAGGTTCATTTTTTACTGGAATGAGAAGCGTACTTCTTCCAGTCATTTCATTTTGTATTCCAACTCTCCGCTACTTTCGCTCATTGATATCTATTCATGCATATTGGTTACAGACATAGTCATTTGGGTACGCGTACGTACATGTGCAATATAATTATATATGTGTATATCTATATATGTCTCTGTGGATGATTATTTTTCCCCTTTCTATTATTATGTGCTTCTAAATTTTATTTTCTATGTGCAAATGTGAGTGGAATGGCATACGCGGCGCTTGAAGTTCCATTCCTATTTTTAATGCTACCCTTTCCATTATTATTATTATTATTATTATTATTATTATTATTATTATTATTATTATTATTATTATTAATGATATATATATATTAGTTATAATGAAAGAAAAGAAAATTCTTTTTATTAATATGATTCTCCTTCTTCATTGCTGTGGGTGTTATCTTACTTTGTTATTATTATTATTTCTTCTTCACGTTTTTGAATTGAGGGGTCGGGGTTGGGTACCGTGAGATTAGGTAAAGGGTTATACAAGAAAAAAGTAAATAAAGGAAGAAAAAAAAGGAAAAAAAAAAAATACAAATGCGCTGGTTGGTGCGATCTGTTATCCCACCTGTTGGGATCATGCGAAACACATCTATTACGTCTGGCACACGACTTCTCTGTACAACAAGGACTATTTATGCCCCCAAACGTTCACTCTCAACAACAAGAAAAAGTAATTCTCCAAAAACCTCCGCTCTCTCACGCAGAGGCAGCAGTAGCAGCGGTAGCAACAACTCGCGTGGAGGTGCTGCGACAGCTCTTAAAGAGAACAGCACAACAACAGCAACAACAACTCCCACTTCTAGAGCGAATACGATTGCGGATACTGTTCCTGGTTTTGCGGCGAGTACTATTAGTCTAGAGGAAGGAGAAGAAGAGGCGGAACGACGACTTATGGAGGGAGATACAAGACTCGCCATGCGGTTATTGATGCAGCGTCACTTTCTTTACCAAAATAATGCGCGACGACCAGAAGAGCGGCGATTAGAGGAGGAACGGGATAAATTGCGAAGAAAACACCGAGCACGCATGGAGCGGATTGAGGAAAAAACACGCAACTCAATAAAACTAGGATCTGATATCGCCGTTGACGGTATTCTTCCCCTCTACCGACACTCCAAGGCAAAGGGAGCAGCAGCAGCAGCGGCAGGTGCGGGGATGATGGCAGCGTCCACGGGTTCGTGGATGCGTCTCAATCCCGTAGAGGCTGAGAGTATTGGCATGACTGATGATGATGACTATAATAGCGGAGGTGATGGTGGTATCAAGGATATTCATGCAAGTGCACTCCTAATGAAACCGGATATCTCTGCTTATGATAGTGAACATGACCAACGAATTTGTAGTTCAGAGGTGCTGGATGAAGAGCAGAAACGGTCCCAAGGGGAACCAAAGGATGGTGAGGGAACGGTTAAGTTGTTGTCGAAAGAAGAACTTGAGATGAGTGCTGGATTGACGCCTCAGCGTGTGATGCAGAGTCAACTACTACAGGATGAGGACCAAGACTTTGCAGTGGAGGCGTATCTCAGTGACATTGATGAATAAATCTCTGGTTTAACTCCTGTCATCACTCTTGAAGAAATCTAACAGGGGAACCCTGTTCTTCTCTTTCTTATTTTTTTTTCTCGTTCACATTGTTGTTATTGTGGATGATACTTCATTTATGTGAGTCTATTTTGAGCTGCTATTGCTTTGCTGGATGCCACTTCATCCATTCGTTGTTTTATTATTATTATTATTATTATTATTATTATTATTATTATTATTATTATTATTATTATTATTATTATTATTATTATTATTATTATTATTATTATTATTATTATTATTATTATTATTATTATTATTATTATTATTTTCGCTTTATCTAAGCACGTTTACGGTTCTTTCCCCTATTGTTTTCCCCCTTGTGCCCCTCATATTAAATGGGGTACTTCTTCTCAAGGGGAAAAAGAAAAAGAATACTAGTGGTGAGGAGAGAAAACAACAACAAACACAGAAATGAAAGAAGGCAATACCCGAAAAGGAGAAACCGCAATGGAGGACTATAAATACATATAAATATATTTTTCCCCTTTTCCCCTTTTTCCCTTTTTGTATTTTTTTTTCTCTCTCTCTCTCTCTCTCTCTCTCTTTTCATTCTTCTTTAATACGTCACCCCATAGTAGTAGTATCGGTGGCGGTGGTGGTGGTATTTCTATTCGCTCTTATAGTTTTTTTTAGGGGCTGAACGCATAGCTGTGTGCGTGTTGATATAGATAGATATATAGATAGAGAAGGAACGCGCCCACCCTCTTTCCCTTTTCTAAGGAGTGCGTGTGTGTGTGAGCGACAGTCTCTTCTTCTTCTTTTATAGTCTCTTCTTCTTCAGTCTCTGTATACTTCCATGCAACCTACTTGTGCGGCGGTGCCCCTCTCACAGCCGGCGTTGACGCGGCGGGGTGTTGAGTTCACGCGGACCGCGTGGGCCGCCGGACTGCGGCCGGACGAACGCCGCCCCGCCCAACTGCGGCCTGTCGCCGTTGACTTTCCGCTTCCCGCCCGAAATGTCGCCCGCGTCCGCTGCGGGGGGACTGTCGTGATCGCCACCGCCGCCGACCGCCTCGTCGAGCCGCACCCACGACGGCCGCGGCACGGAATGCTCAACTGCAATGTCCGGCAGAACCCGACAGAGCGGGACGCGCAGGCGCAGTCGCAGGCACGAAGACAACTCGCAGCATTTCTTGAGCGAGTTATCAAGGGAGGTGGTGTGCTAGATACGGAGAGTCTCTGCGTATTGCCGGGGAGGCGAGTGTGGAGTATCACTATTGATGTTGTTGTGCTGAATGATGAGGGGAACACGACAGACGCGGCGATGTGGGCCACCATGGCATTGCTGTTGCACTACAGGAGACCAGAGATTACCGTGCGTGGTAACAACGTCATTGTACATCCCCCACACGAGCGAGACCCCGTCCCACTATCTATACATCACACTCCACTTTCCTTTGGTTTCGCCATCACAACGGCACCGGGGGCACGGGAGAAGTTGGCGCGGCAAACTGGAACCAGTGTATCAGAAGCCGCACTAGATGTCGTTGTGGATCCAACAGTGGAGGAGTCACTCGCAGCAGCAGCCACACTAGTTGTGGCTATCAACACGGAGGGTCAAGTATGTGCGGTGTCAAAGACAGAAGGATGTTGCATCCGCGTGCCAGAGCTCAATCAGTGTATTCAGACAGCATCTGCTTTAGCGCCACGCGTTATGGAGTTAATTCGGGATGCTATGGCCGCACATGATAAAAAAAGGCAAGAGTCAGTTAAAGGACAATTCCTTTGGGCACAGAAACGTGCTGGTGTCAGTAGGACAGAAGAACCGGAATCAGCAAAGAAGAAAAAAGAAGAGGCGTGATGAGTGGAGAGTCACCAGTGGACGGACTGAAGTTGTGATAAAAAGGTAAGAACAATGAGGAAGACAAACTACTTCAGTCCTCCCGAAATGAAAGAAAAAGAACCGGTGGGTCTATACATATATATGAGAAAAAGAAGGAATGAAAAAGAAAAGAAAAGAAAGAAAGAAAGAAAAAAAAAAAAAAAAACGTGTGCGAGAGAATATAACGGAAATAAAGAAAGAAAAGAAACCGAAACGAAAAGACATAGCTACATGAGTATAGTGTCTGTAATTTTGTTTTTCTCAGCGTCAAATTGTTTTTTTTTTTTTTTTGTTTGTTTTCTGTTTCCTCCTATTCCTTACTGGTAATCTGAGGGTGAAGTAACCCCATTTTTGGAACTTTTTTTCCCCTTTTTCTTTTACTTTATTGATTTGCTTTTCTCTTGGATTCTCGCCGTCTTTTTTTTTCGTTGTTGTTCTTGTTGTTGGTGTCCCTGTGATTATTTTGATTTATTTGTATTAGTTAAGGCATTCTGGCGCACATCATCTCGGAGAAGCTCTTTGTTTGTTTGGAATGGACTTAAGCCCTCTGCCAGATGAAGAGTTAGGGGTTTCAGAAGTCCTTTGGTCTCCTGATTTGGATGCACGTTGGCGTTTCCTGCGACGACATATTAGTCCATTTGAAAGGGATCGAGTAGCGTACTATTCGGCCAAATATCAAAAGCCTGTGTTTGTTTACATGAACCCCATCGTTTGGCGCCGTTTAGTAGAAAAACAAGGCGCTTTTCGTGCGGTAGAACTCATGCTAATGTTAGGCTTTGCGCCAGCGCCGGAAGGCCCGTGGACAATAACAGAGTGGATTGAACGTGAGGCTGCGGCAACCGCACGCAATACATCTACTACGGGAAGCAGCGCCAGTTTCAGTTCCAACAGCGGACACCCCAATTCTCGGAGGTCAATTGCTGTTCCCCCTGGAGCCGGTGAGGACTCACGTATAGGCGGCGGTGTGCGTTTCTTTGTACTTAATCATGAAGATTCACGCCCATCTATTACAGGTTCTCCAGTAAGTCAATATATGTCTCCACGTTCTGGTACGATAGGGGTTCGGGCCGGCAGTCCGGCAGTTGTGACAATGTGCACACAGGTATCGTCACCAGTTGTTGCAACAACAACAACAACATCAACAACAACAACTACTACTACTACAGTGTCGTCTGGAACAGCTTTAGCCGGAACACACCGGGTAGATGGGGAACCCACTATCACACGTATCCGTAATCTTGAGGCTGAGGTGCGGGAACTAACACGACAGATTCGCATTCTCAAGTCACGAGAATTAGAGCAAGAAATGAGTACAGTCTCTGATGTGACATCACAGAATGAGACACCACAACCGCACATTATTGTACGTCCTGATCAACCCTTCATTGCTTCCACAAACTGTCATGCACTTGTATGTCTACCAGTAAACTATCTTGATCCTGATTGTGCACCTTATGTTGTGTCTCTTGGTGCCGCATCGGGGCGCATGTTGTTGGCATGTACTATTGTAGAACACCGTTATGTTATATTTGTCGCGCCTCCCCAGCGGCATGGTTCATTGGCTGTTGTTCTTCTTTGTACTCGAGAAGGCACTCTTCGACCATATACGCGGGCGGTGTGGTTGGAGTATAGAGCACAGGATCCACCCAACACGTTAACGCACCACGCGGTGAATCAACTACTACAGGAGATTCCGCTGCCATCCTCGGCGACTGCTATTGACGCTAACCCAAGTGAGATGGAACAGCCGAAGAGTGAGAGTGCCTTTGAAGACGATAACACCTTCTGTGATACCGATACCGCCGTGAGTACCTCTGACCACGGTTTAGAAGCGGAACCTCGTCTCCCTCTTACAAAAGAAATGCTACAACTCATACCAAATGGGGTTATCACGGGTATGAGGGCCTCACGTACGGCGGCGACAAGTCAAGTACATCCCCATGATACTACACTGAGTGTTCCAGATAGTTCAGGTTCGTCCGAGGGCGGTGAACGTGAGGCGGCGGCCCCAGCAGAGCAACTATGGGATGATAACCGTCTCCCCAAACGAGGTAGCACCACAATGAGTACCGGACACCCGACGAGTTATCAACGTGGACAACAGAGTGGTTACTCAGATGAGGAGGCAACACAACATGCTTTTAATTGTACGACAAATCATACTGATTTAAGTAGTTCTACTGCAACCTCTGTGGTGAGCTTTGAGAGCACAACACCCAGTGTCAGATTTGGTTCTGCCGGTATAATGATGCGTCGCGGTTGGGTACGGCACTGCGTACCAGGACATCATAAGACAACCAATACCACCCTCTGAGTGGATATGTGAATCTTTTCGTTGCCAAAGAAAAAAAGAAAAGAAGATCCATTGACAAAGTTGCAAAACGGAGATTATGCAGCCACTAGATGTAAACCCCCAGCAGCATATTTATTAGGAATATTCCTTTTTCCCAGTTAGTGGCAAGTTCGTTTGTTTTCAGTTTATATTTCTTTTCATTTTGGTATCATTTTTTCTTTCTCACTTATCCAGTCTAGTGCAGTAAGTGTTAAGTAAACTACAGTTCTGCTTGCCTTTTTATTTTTTATTTTTTATTTGTGTACTTCCTCATTTCTAGGGGAAGTGTCCACCTACAGAACCACTCTAAGTCAAATAAATCTGTGTAAACGGACTCACATACACACAGAACAAGGAATTAATTATTGACATATACACTCTTTCTGTGTCTTAGAGAGATTTAAGGGAAAGTAAAAAAAAAAAAGAAAGAGGTGAATTGATTGGTAGATATAAATAAGTAGAGGTTGCAAAAATGCTGACAATGCGTCAGCTGGTTCCCCCCTCTGTGACACACCTCGCACGTCCTTTTCTTTTAGTGGATGGTCGCACTGTGGTGCTAACCGCTATCGCTTCCTCCTTATATGTGCGGATACCCATCTGGAAGACAGACGTGTACGGAAATGCGGAGTGTACTCTGGGTCACACAGTGGATGAATTAAATTTAGGAAGCGTTGCTGTAGATATTGTGCCATGCGCACATCAGTGCTTCGTGGTGCTGACACAAGATAATGAAGTAGTGGTGGGAAGATACCAAGCAAATTTGCCAACACCACGTGATTCATGGCTAGAAGATGATGTGCTGCACCCAAACAATTCATGGATTATTTTACACCGTGGTAAACTCTCAACAGCACGACTCGGTAGTCGCTCTGCTCCTTCCATGTGTCCACTTTTTGCCTGTGGGTTAAGTGGAACTGTTGTGCAGTGTAGTATTTTTCGCGGTTGGCGTCATGCAATTAGAATTGTTATCCCAAGTAACGCATCTGATACTTTTTTACGTGAGAAATGGATTTTAGATGTTCCACATGGGGTAGGGTCCTTTTCATATGGTGTTGCACCTTTCAAGCGTGATGTGATAGAAGAGTCGGATGAAGATCTTTTAGTGCAATGTACTGTCGCTGAATTGGCAGAGCGCAAGCGTACACAATGTCAGTCAATAGTAACACCTCCGTGTGGTTCTCCTCCTGTAAGAGTCATTGTAGATGTTGGTACTGCTGATGATACGATAGTTGCAATGGCTTTGATGCCAAGGTTACATTATTCAAGAAATGACAGTTTTGTATTTGTGTCTGCGTACCGTAATTCGTTAAAGGTCTATGAAGTTCAATCTTCATCTCTCTTGAAAGACTTGGCAGCCAGTATATCTGTTGATGGATCTCCTTACTTTGTATTAACACTCCCAGAACGAATGTTGGTACTTTCAATGCTTGGTGGTATACACATACTTTCTGTCCTCCTTCTTGACGGTAACACACCGATTGGTATGGCTGCTCATACACAGAGTTGGGGGGTCATTCGTCTCGCACGGAGCTTACAGAAGGTTGTGGCAGGTGTCGTACTGCAGCCAAAAGATCAGCCGCCGCACATCAGTACAAAGGAAGTCTTATGGCTGCTGCTTGATAATGGCACACTGACGGAGGTACCGTTAAGCGCATGGCTCTCGCAGGATGGCCAGACGGTCTTGTGTGACGCCCCCGGCATTCACTCGGGCGACTGCGAGGACGGCGAGTGGCCGCAGAGTTGCATTGCCGGTTTGCCGTCGGGATTCCGCGCGGTTTCACTGCTGCCGCTGCAGCACCGCCGCGGGTGTTGGGCGCCGTACGTGGGGACAGGACGGTATGCGTTGTTGAGTGATGGCGTGGCTGACACTTACATCATTGATCTCATCGCCCGGCGGGTAGTGGGGGGTTTATGTTCACAAGGCGCCATGACGGCGGCCTGCACGGGCCCTGGTGTGAGTCTACTGGTGGCATACAGCAAAGGTGTACTGCAGCGTCTCTCACCAGGCCTTAACGCACCAGCGCGGGTATGTGCGGAACTTGCGGCTATTCGATACATGCAGCCACTACCGCACATGGATACGACACAGTCTTCCAGTTTGGTGTTTCATTTCTTGGCAACTACCGCAACACACACGGTTATTTTGGAGGGGGCGGTTGGATACTTAAAGAAAGTGCGAGAGACGCATGATTTTATACTTGATGAACCAACCCTCGCAGTATACTCAGCATCAGCGTCCCAAACGCTAGTAGCAGCAACAACAACAGCAGCAGCAGTTTCTCCGTCGGTTTCACCATCATCTTTTTTTTCTTTCGCTCAATGCACTCCCACGCAACTTAACCTCTCCGGAAAATGCATACCACTGAGAGAATTACTGCCGGAATTTGAGAGTATTTCTCATGCATATTTCGGAGGTAATAACTTTATCACCATTGCGGATAGTAGACGCATGGCGGTTCTTTGGATTGATAATGGGAATGCTCCACGTGTTGTCATTCAAGAGTCTCTCCCAGGCGATATATCGCATCTGACTACATGGCCTATAAATGAAGAGAAACAACAATGGGGTGTGGCAACATGCCTTTGGTCACATGAGATTGTGGTATTGTTGCTAAATGAATCTTTTGTACACCGATATGTGCTTCCTATATCTGTCGTCGTTATTTCTAGTTTCCCATTGGGAAATAATATCAAAGGTGACACCATCTATAGTAGTAATACTAATACCAAGAATCATAAGACGACAGATGACATCTACAAAATGAGTGGAGTAGGACTGACGCTTGTAGATCGCAGAACGGCTGTATTGCACTGCGACACTGTGGAAAATTCACCTACCCTTAAAGTATTGGAGGATGTTGATGGTGATGTATTTTCTGCAGATAGTTGTTTTCCGGTTTTTGCACTTGGCGGAAAGGTTAACCCTAGACCACATTTTAACCTTATGGCACTGCGTAACAATACAGTTGAACTTGTAGCGTTAGACTCTAGTGCCGTTATTATGGAGCAGTTGGGTGTTGCCTTGTCCCCACATTCAGCAGGGATCTTGGGTGGTGGTTATTGTAGTTATAATAGTACTAGTGCTACTACTATTGTTGAGGGTAGTCCTACATTCCGCTGCGGTTTTTTATTGTATATTCCATCTTCTTCATTTTACATAATCGTCCTGGCTGATGCGACACAACTGGCCGTGTGGTCATTACCTGAAGTTATTCCCCCAACAGGGAAGACCGCCTCATCTTCTCATCGCCGTAGTGTACTACGTCGTGGTCCTGTGGCGTACCAAGTAACACGATCATTGCAGTTGCCAGCTGTTACAACGTATGAACACCGTCTCTCACGTATTGTGTACCTCCCGTTTTCTAATACAATTGTGGCACTCACAGACCGTGGGGAGGCGACGTCACTTGTTAGTACTATTGATGCAGAGACTTTTCGCGTCCTTGACGCTCTTCCTATGGCAACACGTGAGATTCCAACTTGTATTGAATCACTTTCTGCTGGTACGGCCGTTGCTACCACTTCTGCTGCTGCAGACGCTGTTGTAATTGGTACTGCTGTACAACCACTTGTGACGACTAGTGAGCCAAGTGAGGGACGTTTACTAGTTTTGCATGTGCGACCACTTCGCATTTCCGCCGTAGCGTGTATTCAAACAGGTGGAGTACTTGACATCTCTGTACAAGGATTTGGTGAAGAGCAACTCATCGCGGTAGCGGCTATTGATCGTGTGTTGGTTTACCGTCTCACTGGAGTTACCCTAACCCATCTCTGTTCCACCGATACAAAATCTGCCTGTACCACCGTGGCGTTACGTTATCCGTTTATCTCATGTGGTCTAGAGTTGTGGGGAACTCAATATATGCAGTTGTTACCGGAAGGAACCGGAACTGGAGACCCGGATGAGTGGGAAAGTCTCTCAACTGTATCACACAATGACGAATATGAAAACGTCCCAAATATGGAAATCAACAAGAACAATTCTAACAAATATGAAGGTGAGAAGGAATCATCTGTTCCGCAATCGTCGTCTGGTGCAGGTGCCCCATGGTCTCGATGGCGTGGGGTATCTTTTACGTTAAAATCCTGTGTGCTTGAACCTGCCGCCTTTGCTGCTGTACACTCTCAATCTACTTACGGTGATGATTTTGTGCGTGTGGACTCTGCCCGCAATCTCACGACGGTCTCCTTCCGTGCTCCTTCCGCACCAGTCGCCGATGAAGTGGCGGCCACCCGTGTTGTTGGCGTGGAGGGTGGTTACTGCAGTGCACTCACCCGCGCCGTGCGGCTTCCATCGTGTCCACTGCAACTGCACGTGTGTGAGCGGACCGGCTGGTCACTGTGGCGGCACCGGCATGTGCCTTTTGTGTTGTGTTGTGAACATCCAGCCGCACTGCGGCGTGTGGGGCCGTTGTTGTTGTTGCCGTGTGCAGACGGTGGACTGCGGGCCGCGGGGGAAGTCCCGCACGCCTTCGCCGGGCCGTTGCTGCGTGTGGAACAGCGACTCACGGAGTTGCACGACACCACATTCGCCTTAAGCCGGCGGTGGGACTCCTGCACAACCGCCAGTGTACATACCAATACGACCAATATAAATATGAATACGAGAGGAATTGGGGGACTGCGGCGTACATGTCATGCGGTGAGTGTAGAGAGTGCACATGCGATACAGAGTGCAACGCGGGTGCTGCGTAAACAGAATTTTCTCTGCGTGGATGCGGTGGAGGAGTATTGGCTGTTAACAATGCTGGCGGAGGTGCCAGACCCAATGCTTGGACCATCTGAGGCTCTCTTGATTGCACGCAAAAAGGGATTGCTGGATGAATATCTCCTGCATGTATGGGAGGAATACGCAGGGGAGTTGCAGGATGTGGATATTGGCGAGGTGTTATATCTTTGGTAATTGAGAAGCGTAAATACATCACTTTTCTGTTTTATTTTTCTTCTTCTGCTTGCTTGTCCTTTCGTTTGTGTGTTCTCTTGTCTCTGGCATTGTAATTATCACGTAGTTCTCACGTCTACTACTATATTACGACTAGTTCTACTAGTTGTTGTTTCTACAAGTACTTCTTCTATGATTGCTCACAACGGAGAAAACACAGTCTGATTATGGACGTTATTACTATCATTATTATTAATATTTTCTTGTTCTTACCACCAACACAATGAGGTTCTTTCGATCTATTTGCCTATATATCATTCGTTTATTATCTAATACACTCATGATTTTGCAATGTTTTTTTTTTTTTTTCCTTTTTTGTTTTTTTCTCCCTCTCTCCTCTTATTTGCTATTAGTTCCATCGAACGTACTCTCGATAGAAAGCCAAGAAGGTGTTTACACTTTTTTTTTTTTTGTATCCACCAACTCACCCAAACAAGAAGAAGTTGAAGGCGAAGAAAAGAAGAAAAAAGGCTAACAACTTCGATATCAACAAGAAGAAGCGCATCAGCGACCAAGCAAACAAGGAAGGTATACAAGAAAAAGAGAATAAAGAGAGAAAGAAGGAGTATAGTTATTATCCCGTTTTCTCTCTTTTTTTTCTTAGATACATACACATAATCTCTTTATCAGTCTTGATTTTTGCCGAGGCGAAGAAGATAGAGAGAATAAGAACAAGAGAAGAATCACAATTACTACAACAGCAGCAAAAAAAAGGAAGAAGAAAAAAAAAAAACGAAAAGAATAAAAAAGAGTGTCAAAAAGAAAATACCCACTCCCCCAGCAATCAGTTGAATATTGTTTCTTTTTTTTTTGTGATTTCAACATAGCGCCTCGTTTTTCTCCACACTAACTCATTTTTTTTTTTTTAATCTTTCCGTCCTTTCGTTTCTCTATTCATTCCTCCCACATTCTGTGTGTGCGATAGAAGCCCACGATTCTGTGACCATCGAGGATAATCATTCCATACGCGTACATAAGTTGATATATATATATATATATATATATATATTCACGTATTCACACTTCTGCAAACACGGGTTAAACAGTAAAACACACGAAGGAAGAAAGAAAACAAAAAGGAAACGTTTGGGTGAAGAAAAGAAAAAAAAGAAAAAGAGAGAACAGAAGGCCGTAAAACAGTTTCAGTGACGCACGAGTGCACTTGGCAATTTGCGTTGTTCCCATTGTGTTGGCAGAGTTCAAAGGGGCACAGGCTGCGAAAGAAGATCCAAAGAAAAGACGAATAAAGAAGGAAAAGAAAGGAAAAAAAAAGGATAATACCAAGAAGAACAACAACAAGTATCACGACTAAAACTGCCCAAGGGAGGGGAAGAGAGGGAGAAGATTATTATCAAGAAGAACTGAAGAAAAAAAGAACCAGACTGCAGAAAGGAAGAAAAGAAAAAAAAAGTAAAGAAGAAAAGAAGAATAACAACAGTAACAAGAAACAACGAGGACTTTGACAACAGCGATTGTCACACATTACAGCTGCAAATACGAAAAAAAAAAGAAAAAATGGACACTCCTTCTGTCGTTTTGGCTCAGTTGAGAACACTGAAATTGAGCAATGGGGCGCGTGTGGGGGATCTTCCCTCCAACACCGTTACACCCTCAACCAATGTAACTAGCACTCTGAATGTTTTTATCAGCGAGCACAGACATCTCGCGGCGACGGCGATATTAAAGCAGCAACATCCACAGCGGGATGAAGAGAGACTGAAACGAAACGCTGCAAGAGAGACTCCATCGCATGTGGTCTCCAGTGACACCGTCAGTAGACACAATAGACAAAGTGAATTAAAATCAAACCGAGCTCTTCAGGGCACTAGCAGCAGTAGCAGCAATAGTGGTCCTGGTACTGGTGTAGTGGGTGGTGTTTCTGGTGGTGGAATAGGACATAGTGGTGGTGTTAGCAGCAGCAGCAATAATAATAATAATAATAATAATAATAATAGTGCTGGCAAACCAAATCGACTTCGCCCTACACCACGTTCACAGCAGATTTCGGAGGAAACACACAGCAAAGAAGGAGGTGCTACGACTACTGCTACTGCTACTGCTACTACTACTACCACTACATCTGCTTCTTCTGTTGCACAACCATCTAATGCGATTGAACAGCTGCTTCGAGCGTTACCGTCGACGAGCATTGCAACCGTCCGGGAACCCATTCCAACACCGCCTTCAGTAGCGATAGTACAACCCAATGTGGAGCCAGATGCTGTGCGAATGACGACAGTGGTGGCTGGAGATGCGGCTAATCCAAAGTTGCTAGAGCCAATAGATAACCTTAATGCCCATAGGCCTATTATCCGAACTGCACCCCCATGTGATCACCGATACATTATCGTTGGCGACATTCATGGTTGTCCAGCACAGTTGGAAGAACTAATGGCTAAAGTGAATTACCAACAAGGGAAAGATTGTCTAATTCTTGCAGGTGACCTAGTAAACAAGGGACCTGACTCTATAGGAGCGGTGCGTCTTGCACAAAAACTTGGTGCCATTGGAGTTCTGGGTAATCATGATTACACGTTACTGAACTGTATTGTCCGTTGTCGCAAGCAAAGGCAGACTGTACAGGAAGAGCAGGATCCTGTCATGCAACTTGCGAGTTCCTTCCCGCAAGGATGTGAAGATTACCTCCGCTCCCTCCCCCACATGTTACGCATTCCCAAGTACAATGTACTGGTAGTCCACGCTGGTCTGAACGTGAGTTACCCGATTGATAGCCAGGACGTGTATGAGATTATGCACATGCGGCGTCTGGAGCTGTTAAGCAACAGCGGCACGGGTACCAGCAGCAGTAATAACAACAATAACAGCAACAGTAACGTTGGTGGTGATGATAAGCGCACCCGCGGTAAGGCGCGCTGGCGTGCGGTGGTGAAGGGCAATCGCGGGGATCCGTGGGGAGAAGTGTGGGGCGGCCCCGAGTTGGTGGTGTTTGGCCACGACGCCCGCGCTGGACTGCAGCAGCACCGCCTCGCGTACGGCATCGACACCGGCTGCGTCTACGGGCGGGAGCTCACGTGTTTGGTGTTTGGCCCGGCCGACCCCGCCGGGACGCTCGTCTCCGTGCCCGGGCTGCCAAAGTACACCAACGAGCGCCAGGGCCTCCCGCCGCCGGCCGCGCCGGTCTACGAGCACTACGCCGACGAACTCGCCAAACTCATTCTGCGGCCCACCACGCGGTCCGTCGCCACGCCAAGTGGGGCGAATGGCAGTCGGCCGGTGTTTCTCGCCACGCCTCTGAATGCCGCCGCCGCCAGCGCATTGCCCAACAACAACAACAACACAACAGGACCCGCAGCGGAGGATGGCGCTGCCAGTGGATTGTACGCCGTGGAGCGGGCCACACTCTTGTCGCTCATCAAAACAAATGAACTGCGGGCTGTGAAGACCCTCATGTCGCTCCCTGCGTACGAGACCGCGTGGTTGTCGCTCCTGGACAACCGAGATGAGGACTACACCGGCAGCTTCTGGATTCCACTGGTGCAGGGAATACTAGAGGGACTGTTAGGTCACCCCACACAGTCCACACCAGACTACGCCGATGATGTACTGCAACTCGCACTGGAAGTATGTGATGAACTAGAAGCCGTAAGGCAAGTTGTGACAACACAACTGCAGACATTAGCAGACCGTGAGGCGTCCGGCTCGTTCTCTCTAACGAAAGCCACAGCGAAGTTTCTGCGGCTCGTCGCGGTACTGTAATAATGATGATAATGATAATAACAACAAGAACAATAATCGTTGGAGTTGTGGTTTCTTGTTGAAATACCCACTGCCGCCCTTCTTTCCTCTGGTGGTGATGACAGTGATGATGATGATGATGATGATGATGATGATGATGATGAGGATAAGAAATGATAATAACAAATGATAATGGGGAAGAAGAAGAAGAAGAAGAAGGAAAAAAGAAAAGAAATGAAATGAAAGAATGGAAAATAACAAAAGAAAAAGGTAAGGACGTCTGATATAGGACAACGATGGGGAACTGGAGGAAAGGGATGAAGATGTGGAAAATTAAGAAAAGAAACTAAAAGAATTTGGGATGGATATATCTATATATCTATATATATGTGTGTATGTAATTATGTATCTCTGCTTGAATAGATAACCATAATAATAAAAAAGAAAAATAAGAAACAGGAAGACTGAACAACAACAACAAAAAAAAAAAAAAATAGAGGAATAAAAAGGAATAGGTCAAAAAGAGATGGAAGAGGGATTGAAGTGAAGTGGGAGGGTTTCACTCTCTTCAGACACACTGAACAGCCAATGGATAAAGCTGTCTCTCTTGTTATTGGTGTTTGTGGATAAGGAGTGGAAATGACAATACCGTGTGAGACTATTCCTCTCTTATCGGTACTGTCATCCTTGTGTTCTCCCTACATGAATCTCTTATTTGAATCCATTCATCCATTCATTGATCCCTTTTTTTTTTTTTTTTACTGACCTATTTACTATTGGGCGCCGTTTCATTTTATTTGTTTCTTCGTTTGTTTGTTTGTATGTTTGTTGCTCTCGTCCTTTTCTCGTGCGAACGCCCAACCCCTTCTCTTCCTACACCTACACCCGCATGGAACGAACACTTAACGAGCGGGGGGACCTGCAAGATGCATACAGTAAGGGAAATAGAAATAAGATGATGATGAAGTGAAAATTATTGCTTACCCCGATAATCGTATATATATATATATATATACTTACATACATTCTCTTCGGCAGAGTCAAGCAACCGAAAAAAAAAAGAGATATATATAGTAATCAGTGAGCAGAGAAGCAAACGGTTGTACATACATATACTGTAATGTATGTATGTTTGGTTTGTATCCTGCTATTTTGTTTCTTCCAGGGCTTGTACTCCGTCCCTCTTGCTTTCTTTTTTTTTTCTTGGTTTCTCTTCCTTATAATTTTCTATTTTTATTTTCTTCGTTTTTTTTTTTTTTCGTTCTCACTATCTCGATCTATCTATACCTCTTTTGCTGTTATTGGATGAGATCATCCCCCCAGGCGTGTATGTGTGTTGGCCCACTAGACATGGACACACGCAAAATAAGTATATATATATATATATATATATACGTGATTGTATGTACATGGAGTGCGTGAAATGAATAGACACATCATACCACACAACTTATTGGGGAGAAGAAAACGGAAAGAAAGAAAAAAAAAAAACGAACAAACAAACAAACAAAATGAGAAAGAATCAATGGTAATTATTAACAAGTGTGTAATAAAAGGTTGTGATGAGTTATCCCTGCATCTACTAAAGGAGTGGGATTCCATTATTCTTTTACTCATCACAATTACTATTAGCATCTGTTATATTCCGGGTTCTTGATTATCATTTTTCTTTTCTTTTGCTGTCATGAATGATAGTGGGTGATTATGAATATGATGATCTTTTTTTCTTTTTTTTTTTCTTCTTTGGGAGTGGGAATGAATACTTTTTCTGCGTTTGTTTGTCTATGTATGTATGTATGTATGGTTTGTTTTTTCTTCTTTTTTCTTTCTCTTTCTACGAGTGGGATTCTTGTTTTCTTTTGGTTTTCTGTTCATTGTGTATTACTGCGTGTCTATCTATCTATCTATCTATCTATCTCTGTATGTGTGTGTAGTGATTCGTATTGCAGAAGGTACACCTGACAGTTTTTTTTTTGTTTCTTTTGTTGATCTATTGCTCTTCTATATATATATATATATATATATATATATATATATATATATATATGAGTGTGTCTATTTATCTATCTATTTATCTATCTATTTATGTAATGCATGTATGATATGTAGTGCATTGCACACCCATTCTTTCTGCGTTTTCTCTCAATCATATATATATACGCACACATTCTCTATATAGTGTATATATAAAAATAATAGTTCTTTTTTTTTTTAATTTCTCATTCTTTCTGACTGTGTGGAATTCATCCCTTAATTGCCATCAATTTCTCAGTGTTTATATGTGTGTGTGTGTGTAGATATTCATATAGTCAAACACACAATGCCGTTTCTTTTTTTTTTGTTTTAACGGTTCTCGCCCCCCCATACATTACAATACAATACACTAACAAGAACAGAGAAGAGGAAGATATATATATATATATATATATAATGTGTATATGTATGTATGGGGATTGAATGTTTTTTTTTTTGTTTTTTTTTGGCTTCTCTGCACGTACTTCACAACACTGTTAACAATAGGCAGTGCATTAATGGATGAATCTCCACACCGGTGGAATGAAGAGAGAGACGAAGACATGCCGAAGTGTTTTTTTAAACAACAATTGATGCGATTTTGGAAGGAAGTGAAACAATTCGTGGGGATAAGAAAAATGATGAATGAGAGGATTTTTTTTTTTTTTTTTTTTTTCAGAGAAGTCTATGCAAGTGGGAGAACTAGAACAAAACCAATAAAGAGAGAAAAATGCAAGTAAGAGAAAATAATATACTACGTCGAAAAGGGAAAAAAGGAAAAGGGGTGTGGGAGTTAAAAGAATGGGGAGGGAGATCTCTATATAAAGAGAGAGAGAGAGAGAGAAAGATGATGCTGTAAGAGTAAGAAGGGAAGTATATATATAGGCAGAGATAGAAAAGGAATAAATTGCGGCATGATGAAATATTAATAGATGGCATCACATGTATGAATGTCTGTTGTGGGAGTAAAGAAAAAGAAGAAGGAAAAAATAAAATAAAATGAATTATAATAAAGAAAGAGAAGAAATAAAGGAACAATTGATGGTTGCTAGAAAAGTATATTGGTAAGAGAAATGAAGAATGTTGTTTCTTTCCTTTTCGGACACATTTCTCTTCTTTTTTTCTTTTCCTTCCCTCTTTCTTTATTATATTATATTATATTTCTTGGCGCCGTTGTCTTCTCTCAAATCAAACAACCATCACAATATTGTATGAACGTAAGAAAGTAATAAACTTCATTGGGGGCGTTCACACACACACACACACACACCTCTCTTTCTCTCTCTTTTCTATTTCTCTCTTCGTTGCTTGTTATTCTTCTTGTTCTTCTTCTTATTGATATTGTTAATATTATTATTTCCACCAGAGAGAGAGAGAAGAGAAAGAAGAGAGAGAATGGCGGTTGTGTGTGGCCCCCGCAGACAAGGCGGTTGGGATGAGAGCAGAGAAGGAAGGAATTTAAATATTAAAGGACCATAACAGTAAAATAACCGTAATCATCAAAGAGAAAAAGAGAAAAAAAAAAAAAACAATAAGAAGAGAGGGGATTTACGTAAGAAAAGAAATTATTTCCAAATTAAGAAAAGAAAAAAAAAATTATAAAAGAGTGAAAAAAGGAAAGGAAGGAAAGAAAGACGATATGGACATGTTATTCACAATAATAACAATAACAACGGCATTGTTTGCTTTCGTTCTCTTTACTTTCATGTTCTTTTCTTTTTCTGTTTTTTTTTTTTTTTTTTTTTTTTTTTTTTTTTTTTTTTTTTTTTTTTTTTTTGTTGTTTATTTCGCTCGGAGATCTCCCCGCCCTGTGCAGTATTGCGGCAGGAGTAAAGAGAATGGAAACGCAGAAGGAGACAGCAGCGAATGGGGGAGTTGTGGTTTTCTATTGAAATGAATGGGGTCATCGTTTTTTTTTTTTTCTTTCATTTTCTGTTTATTATTATTATTATTATTATTATTATTATTATTACGATTGTTTGTTTTTGTTTTGTTTTGTTTTGTTTTTTTGTTCTTCGCGTCTTCTTGAGCAGCGATGCTGTGTGGTGGGAGAGATCAGCAAAACAATACAACAGGACCTCCCCTCTCCCCCCATTAAAATATATAAATATATA